ACTCTTTGGTCAATAGTTTCCTAGTAAGAAGGATCATTTTATCAACAAAATCCGGATAGGAAATACAAGCCCCGGTACACAATTTAAACAAGGAGACATATACTCAATATCCAGGAGCTGCTTGAATGTCACTACAAAGAAATAGACAGTTTACAATTAAAAACAGGAATTGACCTTCATTGTCAATTTCTATATGCAAATCAGGCAGACTTAACCGTGTGAGTGATATCTCTTGGTCCAATATCACTGAGGTAAATGCAATCAAAATAAGCATCCAAATGTGAGCTATTTAGTGTGATGAAACAATCTATATAAAAACCTGAAGTTAGAGTTTAATGTCATATTTTTAAAAACATTTCTGTAGAAGCTCATTTCCGCCTCATAAGAATAAAAGAACAAATCGGCAAGGAGAAGGACAAATTCTTTTTCTATAGGAATACCGATTGCCATTTGAAAAACACGTTCTCAAATTGTAACAAATATTATGTAACTAAATAAATATAAATCTTGATGATGTCAATTCCGGAGAACTTTTTGTGTGAATCAAAGTATTTGTCCACAAAGAATGATTTGTTCCTTCCTAAAACAAGATTATGTTATCCGTTTTTTTCCATTCTTTCTCATGAAACAAAGTTGGACTTATTCTATCAATCTCTCTGTACGTTTTGAATGACGAGTACTTATGCAAAGGGTAGAAAAGTCAAATCTTTTGGATACTATTGGTCGAATAGAGAAACTTGAATTTTGTCTTATTTATTTTCATTAGGGCTTCAAACCTCTTACATTTATTGCAAAACTGCAAAAAAAAAAATAACCTCATAATATCCTAATTTGGAGATCTTTTTATAAATATCTGAATATGAACCATAATCAACCATGGCTTTCCTGAATTAATTTTGATCCATATAATTATTGTGAACTTCGTACATAATAGCCTAAAAAGCATTAGGGATAATTTTCTAATAGATACGTTAGCATGTACCAGCGAAAATCTGCAGATATAAAATATAATTTTACAACAAGGGGTTATGCAAATTACACCCACTGTAAATGTGAATATATCTTGTGTGTTTATTTACGTATTTGTGTATTTATAATAAAAGTATTTCTACAAACACGTGTATATAATAAGCCTTCGGGAATGAGTGCAGAGAACAGGACGTTTACGTTATAATAACTGAATTGAGTATAATAACTTTTTTAAGTTTTCCTACAAACATGATAACAAATAGATGCAATCGCAGGATAAGATTATGAAAACTGGAAAATTTAACTAAATGTATTTGCTTTAAATGAGTGTATCAATTTCAAATGGCAGTATGAAATTTAAATGTAAGATTATTTTAATTCAATTTTCATTGTGTCATTTCAAATGTTCTTTCTTTTGTAATTTCTTGATAACGAACAATTTCTTTTTTTGTGAATTATATGTTCTTTTTTTAGAAATGAATCATCAGCTACTGTTTTCAGACGGTACATCAGTTCGTTTATTTGATACCAAAACAGGAAATCTAAGTATCCTGGCTAATGGATACAGCTACATTCTGTTTCTTGACTACCATTTTACTCAACAATACATCTTCTGGTCAGATTTTTCGGGAGGAACTATATCAAGGTAAAAATATGTAATTTCAGCAGGTTCACTCTAGTTTCCTAAAAATCAAATTATAGATTCAGAATTAATAACGGACGCCATCACGAGTTGGTTGACCGTTATGGAATATCCGGAATTTTAATATATGTCTAATGTTTCCTATCCAAGATTCCTGGTTAGATTTGTTCATAGACTTGGATAGATTGATGGCCTCCCATAGGATAATATTTGAAGGTTCAATTTCTTTCATAAGATGAATCAAATGGTTTATCATATCTATAATTACATAAAAAAAAAGTGTAGGGAGTGAACCTAATTCCCCTCTACATGCCATATTTGATGTTTTTTATGTAAACTCCAAGTGAAAATTTACAAAGTTTACTATGGATTTTTCTCAAGTACAAGATACACAGTTTTTATTGAAATAAATTTATCCATATGTCTTTGTTTCTTATATGGTATATAACCCCAAATTTCAAAGGATTGTATGGTTATAAATATGTAATAAAGTACTAGGTTTTTGGCTTTCCAGTGAAAGGTCTTCCTTAATTTGAAATAGGCTTTCATTCCTTCAGTAAAACGTTCTTTCTTTGCCTTTTGGACGCTCTCAGATGCTGAAAAAATTATTCCTAAGCATGTGTTGTTCTGTACATATTCTACAGTCTAATATCCTAAGGATATTTTAATATGATCATGCCGTCCTGATTTGTCAAATACAAGAACTTTTGTCTTTTTGGTGTTAACTGTCATTTTCCAGTCTACTGTAAATTTTGAAGTCCTTTCTCAGATGATTTGAAAAATCAAATTTTTGTAAAAATTATTTCCGTACTCCATGTATACCTTACAACAAAATTATTTTTATCTACCTGTGTACGTTATTTTATTTGGCGGCATTTTGTCCAAGGTTATAGTTGTCTTTCTGATATTGTTAAACATCTAACCTCCTTTTTTTTTTTTTATTAATTTTGTATTTACATTATGTCATAGATCAAATTTATTCGTTCAGTGTATGTTCACTTGTTTTTGTTAATATGTCTTTTGATTGAGTTAAGCCATTTAAATTGATATTTTATAGTGTGTCTTTCTATGTTGTGATGTTACACTATTGTTTCAGGTAGGGTGAACGTTGGCGCCTATTAAAACGTTTAAACCCGCTGCATTTGTTTGCACCTGTCCTAAGTCAGGAACCTGATGTTCAGTGGTTGTCGTTTGTTGGTGTGGTTCATAAGTGTTTCTCGTTTCTCGTTTTTTATATAGATAAGACCGTTGGTTTTCCTTTTTTAATGGTTTTACACTAGTCATTTTTGGGGCCCTTTATAGCTTGCTGTTCGGTGTGAGCCAAGGCTCCGTGTTGAAGGCCGTATTTTGACCTATAATGGTTTACTTTTACAAATTTACACTCATGCCACATCTTCTTATATCTATTATATCAGACAAACTTAGTTCTGATTATCCGAGGATAGTAGTTCATAGAATAATAACACTGAGAAAAAATTATTATAAATATTACACCTGGGTAAATCTAACTTTAATTTGTTACAGAAACATATTTAAGGTTAGGGAATTGATTAATTGTTACAATGTATTTTATAAGATGATATAGTTTCATAAACATTTACCTGTTTTCTGATTTTGTTATCTTTGATATTTAGTTTTGAACCTACAATTTTCAATTCAAATCTCAAATTTATTTTTTTATGATCAGATATTAAATCTCAAACAATCCATGTTGACTAAGCATTACACATAATTGGATGCATCTTCCTACATTTTAATATTCTTTGTTTGATGAGGAATTTATTATTAGTTGAACGAATAGAAAGTAACTAACGAGGTCCGATTATACGCAAAACAAACATAAGATTGTTATTTCAACGCGTTTTTTAATAACCAAAAACTAACCCATTCGAGGTCATACACATACGAAGACAAAATTGTAATACATTTTAAAGCATCCGAATTAAAATGATGCACGTTATCGCCAAAAATTATCTGGACATTTCAGTATCCTAATGGAATTTGAATATCAAAATCCTAAATAAAAAACAAACTTACACAACACACAAGATAAAAAATGATAGCGCTTTACTGTTGACGAAGTTATGATATAATGTTGTAAATTTTATATTTTGTAAAATTGTGCATCACAAAACATCACTGAACATAATGAACCAATCAAAATTCATAAGTCGAGAGAAACTAACAACGCCATGGCAAAATCGAATTTTTAGCTCACATGGCCCGAAGTGCCAAGTGAGCTTTTCTGATCACTTGGCGTCCGTCGTCTGACGTCGTTAGCTTTTACAAAAATCTTCTCCTCTGAAACTGCTGGACCAAATTTAACCAAACTTGGCCACACTTATCATTTGGGTATCTTGTTTAAAAAATGTGTCGGATGACCCCGCCTGCCAACCAAGATGGCCGACATAGCTAAAAATTGAACATGGGGGTAAAATGCAAGCTTTGTCTATTATTTTGAAAACCGTTATAAATAGAGAAAATCTGACAGAAGCAAAAAATGTTCAGAATGTTGAGCTCTACCAATTGTTTTTTTTTACGTCAAAACTGTCAGACGACTTCTTATAGGAGTTATTGTCCTTAAATGGCAAATTTTACCATATTTTTTATTTTTGCCTATTATCTTGAAAACTTTAATAGATAGAGAGAAATTTTAAATTGCAAAAAATTATCAGCAGGACAAGGTGTACAAATAAGTCTCATGGTCGAAATCGTCAGTCGACTCCTTATTGAGATTATTGCCCTTTAATGACGATTTTTACCATTTGTTTTGCGTTTTGCCTTCCATGATAAAAATTATAATAAATAATAAATAGACACTTTAAATCACAAAAGGATCAACAAGGCAAGATCTGCTAACAAGTCAAATTTTGCCAATATAGTTAGTAGACTGTCACTCTTTATAGGAGTGATTGTCCTTAAATGATAATTCTTTTTACCCTCTATTGTGTTTTGAGCAAAAACTACAGAAGATAGAGAGAATCTAAACAGACTAAATGATCAGCAATACAAGATCAACCAAACAGAGATTTTTGTCATGAATTCTATTCTCGTCTACAATGTTGGAGAGTGTCCTTTGTTGAATATGCACATAGACCAAGGTGGGCGACACAGGCTCGTTAGAGCTTTTTTTTTACAAAAGAAGTTGGAACGGTACTCGACATCATAAGAACGAATACTAGTATTTCATGCTTTTCATACGATATAATTGATAATTTGCAACACAAATGGTTGAACACGGACGAACGGAAGGTCAATTACATTATACTTTTAAATTGAAAAGCCAATGTTGTAGCTATAGTTTACAAACAAGAAATAAATTATTCTAAATGTATTTTATAAGTGGTTAAACATAATCCTATCTAACTTATTTTCCTACAGGTTACAATATCCAGCAGAAGTTAAAACTGCACCAGAAATCATAATAAATACAAATGACCCTACAGGTGTTGCTGTCGATACGATAAATGACCATTTATATTGGTCAGAACTGAAAAGCAATCGGATACTCAGATCACATCTCAATGGTTCCAGTACAACAGTAATTACATCCGTTACTGCACCCCTAGATTTAGAATTAGATATGACAAACGGGTAAATAATTGATTACAATTACTAATGTTGAACATATTTTCGAAGAAATGGTAGTGTGGTTCAGAATAAAGGTGGATAGGTATATAGGCATATTAGTACAGTAAAATGAAACTGAAAATATACGGAAATCTAAGCGAACAGTTAAGACAACCGATACAGAAAAAATGAAATTTCGAAAATCGCATGTAAACGTAATGGATAATGCCCTACGATTGAATTGTGCCAACATTTGCGTTTGTAAAAATGAATAGTACTCACTTAATGAGAAATTAGGGTTGTTTGGTATTTTTTAAATGTCTATGACAAATTTCTTTGTATCTGATATATGGACAGATAAACCTTCCTGTGGGGAAGTATAAAACGTTAGTGAGACACTAATCATTTCTATAAAAACTTATACAGAACAGCCAAAGAAAGTCTGAGATTAACTTTTTGGGTATAACCCCATTTTGACCAAGCAAAAGAAAGACAGCAAAGTAAAAACGTAGAAGAAAGCAACTATTAGTCACCGTACAACCTTCGACTATGAGCATACCCCACACCACACAGCAATGAAAGGCGAACGATACAAAGGGACATTCAAACTCATAAGTTTAAAATAAACTGACAACGCAATGGCAATAAAAGAAAAAAGACAAAAAGACAAACAACAGTACAGGTACAGCAAACTATGAAAGGCTCCGAAATGACAATTGTGTAACAATGCAAAAAAGAAAACTAACGGCCTGATTTATGTACAAAAAGATAAACCGAATACAAATATGATATACCGCAACAAACGACAACCACTGAATTACAGGCTCCTGACTTGGGACAGGCAAATACATAATGTGGCGGAGTTAAACATGTTTGCGGGTTCAGGACTTTCAACCTAAACTGGGACAGTGGTGTAACAGAAAAACATAAGAATAAGCTATTAAAATCAATTGAAATTGTCTGATATGCATATGGTTTAGGCCAATTTCATCCGAATGTGCATGAAACTTGTATTCATAATTAAAAAGTCACCAATTTCAAATAATCTGTCGATATTATCTTATAGGCTTGAACTTGAAGTTTTAAGAAAGAAAAAAAACCTATTCTGCTCTTTGGTCGAGTTGTTGTGTCTTTGACGCATTCCCCGTTTCCATTCTCGATTTTACTAGACTGATGAGAAGCTAAGGGCTCAATGGAGCAAACATTGCTGACATCTATTACTTCTCCCAACGTACTGTTGATTTTAGTTAAGGATGTTTATCTTAAACAATATTGATTTTTTTTAAATATCCAAAGTCTGTCAAAATTGCGGGTTTTTGCCACAATTCGAAGTTTGAATATTAGTGATCTGTTTAGAAATAAGCAATGATATCGTTTTATCCTGAAAGTTCACATATGGATCTGTGATACTTTGAATTTAAGCAAAGATTAAAAGACTTTTTTTAAAATTGACCCGATTGTGAAATGATTTGTCGGAAAATTGGCCCTACCAGTTTAAAACCAATTAAAAAAATCGCAAAATTTCTATGTTGAACACATCTATCCAAAAGAACTTGAAATCCAGGATAAAACAGATACAGTTAATTTAAAAGTAAGGAGAAGTGGTGTGATTGTCAATGAGACAACTATCCACCAAGGATCAAATAAAGTGGATGTAAGCAATTATAAGCAACCGTACGGTCTTCAACAATGAGAAAAACCCATACCGTATAGTCGGCTATAAAAGGCCCCAATATGAAAAATATGAAACAATTCAATTGAGGAAAACTAACTGACTAACTTATAACAAAACAATTTACGAAAAACAAATATGACAGACATGAACCAACGACAACCACTGAACTACAGGCTCCTGACATGGGACAGGCGCAAACAGAATGTGGCGGGTTTAAACATGTTTGTGAGCGCTAAACCCTGTCCCTAACTTGGGACAGTGGTGTTACAGCACAACATAAGAACAAACTATAAAAATCAGATCTGTACAAAGTCTGGCTCATATCTCGATTTTCATCTAGACATTGACAATGAGGGTCGTTTTACGACAAAACAGATGATTTCAGCTTTTTAATTGTGAACTTTCCATTTCTATGTAGCAAGATTTCAGCAGCGCAATCCCGTTCTCTTTTCCTCGAATGTGACCTACGGAATTTGATATATCACTGGATTTCAACTTTGTACTTACATGAGCAACACGACAGGTTCACCATGTGGAACAGGACCTGTTTACCCTTCCGGAGCACCCAATATCATCCTCGGTGTTTGGTGGGGTTCGTGTTACTCAGTCTTTAGTTTTCATTGTTGTGTTTTGTATACTGTTGTTTGTCTTTTCGTCATTTTTCGTGTTTTGCCATGGTATTGTCAGTTTGTTTTTGACTTATACTTTTGAATACTAGTATCCATTTGGTATATTCCGCTTCTCTTTATCAAGTCAAGCAAATAAAAAACTCCTTTTACTTATTTGTTCAATGTGTAATGGTAAAATATGAATGAAAATTGAATAAAGATAGCTATATCGTCTAAATACTCGCAAGTTTCGGATCTTTATAGAATTGTTTCGTTTATCTACCGGCAAATATGACTGGTTATGAATAGTAACTAGTATATCAGCAATGGTCATTACCTGTAACGCTTTTTTAAAACTTACCCGCTATAAACTATTTCAGGTTGCAAGGTGATGAATATAAATCTCAATTTAAAAAAATCCTAAAATTGGATTTTACTATTCTGTTTCGGCAATGTTTGGTTATAAAGCGCCAATAATTCTTACACGTTTTTTTGTTTCTTCAGTTACAGCTTTGAGCGTTCCGACGATGTATTTATCAAACAATTTACAATTGAAGACAATGTCAGGAATTTTCCAAATTCTAGGTCAGACACAGAGTTAACTGTTTATGAGAATAAATCGCTTTTACACTAATAAAAACCATTTTGACATTATGAATGAAAATTTTGGACAAGGGATTTAGTTTCTTCTGTTACCTATTCTAAAATCTCACAAAACATGCTTAACACCGCCGCATTTTTGCGCCTGTCGCAAGTCAGGAACCTCTGGCCTTTGTTAGTCTTGTATGTTTTTTTAAATTTTGGTTCATTTATATGTTTCGGAGTTTAGTGTGACGTCCATTTTTGCTGAACTAGTACACATTTTTGTTTCGGGACCAGCTGAAACCCGCCTCCGGATGCGGGATTTTCTCGCTGTGTTGAAGACCCATGCATTGATGGCCTTGGGTTGTTTTCTGCTCTTTGGTCGGGTTGTTGTCTCTTTGACACATTCCCCGTTTTCATTCTTAATTTTATTTAGTATATAAGTTTCAATAATTTTGAAATTATTTAATTTTAGGCTGTTATACATCCTTAGTAATTACATAGAGATATTACAGTGTCGGTGGGACGGAAGTGGATGTCGTGTTATCCGTGAAATAACTAAAGCAACATTAAATGCAGAAAATATAGCTATAGGTAAAAATATTAAAAAGTAGATATGTGTTCCTTTACGGACACTCATTCAATACCTTGAATTTTGAAACAAGTTCGATATACTTCCTTTCTAGAACATACTGTAAAGAGACAGTTCATTCTCAATATTGTAACATATATGTAGATTTTTTTTTTAATTTTCGGTAACAAATTTAGGGACCGAGAGCAGAAAGACTAATTCGATTCTTGGTACCTTTGATCAGTTTTTTTTATATACAGTATGATAGTAGTCACTCGGTAAATTAAACAATAACAAAAGTACCAAACTCCAAGGTTAATTCAAATAGGGGGGAGTCCATATAATCTGACAAAATCAAACGTTATCAATCAAACGAACGTTGGTAAAATTTTGCTGGACTCGTGCGTGATCTGACATCGGATCGGGAAGGCAATTAAATACTATTAACTTTGATATGCGGAAAGAAATCAATCGTTTTATTAAAAGAGACCAAGTTAGCAAAATGTGTCTTTCACAATAGTCAATATGAGAATAAGGAGATGTAGTATGATTGACCATGAGACAGCTATTCACCAGAGACCAAATGACGAGTAGAACTTACAACAGTAGAATCCTTGGAGAGAACGTGCCAAACACTGTAGATTTCCCTTTTTAAAGCCATTTTCCATATGTTTAAACAATGATTGTCTTTGAAGTACATGTAAACGTAAAAATATCCATGATTAGGGTAAGACATTTCTGTTTTTATCGATATATCTTCATCAAGATCGGACAAAAAAAAATTACGGGTCAATTGTTTAAAAAATGATTGTATATACTAGTATGAAGTTTTTAACGGCATCTGATTTCTTGTTTATGTGTGTACAATCTTGCATTACATAAAGCATATAATTTTATATGTGTCCTTGGAAACCTATTAGACGTCTGAACTTTGATTTAGAGAGAGAAAGAAGATCCAGTTGATTATTTGTACATGTGTTCAGAATATTCTGAAGGAGAACTTTCAATTAAACGAAATGAAATGGCTTGAACGTTAAGATTCGGCATACTGGAAAACATGGTATGGGTTCATTGGACTTGTCATATCGTTTGGTGCACATTGTGGGAAAAAGAGAAAATTATGAGGATATAGTAAATTCATTAATTTTTTTTAACAAACCCAGAAAGCATTGCAGTGGCAACGAATTAACTTCCGCAACATGTTCTGAGACTGCTGGTTGATTACCAATGTGATGTCTAATCTCATTTAATGCTAAAAATCCGGGTGGTCTTATAAGTTCGTATACAGTGATCAATAGCCTCTCTACTCTTAGGTTGTAAGTTCGAAATCCGTTTGTGGCAGGGGGTTTATTACTCCGATCTTAATTGAAAAGGATTTCCATATTCCCCGACCAAGGATAGTGGTTCTATCCGGGTACTCCGGCTTCCTCAATCAAAAATTGACCCCCGCAACATAGCCAAGGTTTCTGAAAGTGGAGTAAATCCATTTTGACATTAGAATCTATATGAAAAGAATTAGTTTAAAATATTTTTCAAATGGGAGATAATCAAAATGTGTCGATTAAGACAATGGAAGCTAAGTGCTGCTAGTTCACAATGAAGTTTATTTTTGTAAAATATCATTATGGCACATGCCTTGCGTTCTCCCTTATGTATTTTGTCTAAAAAATGTACCATTTATATCCAAATGAAAATAACACTAAGTAGATTCGTAGGACCGAAGTTCTTTTCTGGATTTGCCTTCATCTTCATCAGAAACGCCAATACCTAATCATTTTAAAACCAGGACTGTATAAATCTGTAGAAAAATTAAGATCTAAGGTCAATTTTACCTGAGGGAGTTTCGACCTAAGTTTCTTAATAATTTCTTAATTCATCAAAAGAATTTTTAGAAAAGTATGTTATAAATCATGTCAGTACCGAAGCACTGATTATTTAGCTGATAATACCCTTGGGTACTAACAGTCCACCAGCAGTTGTATCGACACAGTGCTTGAAGAGAATAACTCTCAATTAATGACATACGTCCGAAGCGCTATTCTTGATTTGCCTTTATTCGCAACGCTCAAACCTAAAACATTTTTGAAAACCAAGAATGTATAAATATTTATAAACTTTGCCGGAGAAGGTTGGAGCCTTACAAATTATTCCTAAAGTTGAATGTGAATTAAATCATTTTACCACATTTTCATATGCTGTGTTTCTTTAACACAAAATCATTTACCGAAAATAAAGCCAAACCCGAAAAAGAATCAGATTTATACAAATGGGATATATATTCCGCATATTATATATGATTTCAATATTTTATTACAACAAATTTCAATAAAACAATTTCGGTATTGTCATGCCAGAACCGTCTGGCTACTGGGTTCGTGAATACGTTTTACATTTTTGACTCACATATTTTGCTGTCTAAATTGTCACACTCCAGCGTATCTGGTATTTAGTAACATGTGTTGTGTGCACTGATATCATATCATACTATGTTTAATAACAATCACATGAAGTGCGTATGTCTTTAAATAAAAAAAAAATATTGCAGAAAATGACTTTTTTTTTCAGATTTTGAAGAAGACAGGGTTTATTGGACTTTTACTAACTCTCATCAACCTATACGATCGTCCTCTCTTGGTGGATCAAATTTACAGGAGACTGATATAAGCTTAAACTGTGCATTTGGTATTGATGTCAGTAGTACTCATATTTATTACGCGGATTGGTATAGAGGCATATGTAAAACTGAAAAGGCAAACTCGACATATGATGTTCTCTTATATGCAAGCAATCCAGTCACGGCTGTTAAGATATTCCAACCTCAAGGTAGGTATGACTTTTGTTTTGATTTAATCTTTACCTACAAAGCGTTAATAATTCTTGTCGGTAAAAAAAACATGTTCATCTACTGTTTCTGAATAAACCTGTACAGTCGTTTTTATTTATACACCAAATAAGAAAAAAAAATATTAATGCTTAACCATACACAAGGGTAACGAAATTTATTTTTAACATAACTGTTGCTGTCTTGTGGAATCTTCACCACACACTTTGAACTTTTGGAGATTTTGTTTAGACTTACATTTTCTAAATATATGCAACAGCACAGTTCACTAAAACACATGTGGCCAAGATTGGTATCAATGGGCCTGCGGATATTTTTGAAAAGGTAATCTAATAACACACAACTAGTGATGACGAAACTTCACACTGGCCCTGTTGGCTAAGTAAATATAAAACAACCCATATACATATAGAAATAGAACAAAATGATAGATAATTGTCATATTCTAATTAAATTATTTTAAATGCACATAAATAAGATATTCATTCATGTTCATACATGTTTACCACGGTTATCTTCGTAGGGTGTGATTCAGCTAGATTATATGGCTTTCATGCAACGAATAAAATGTATTTAGTAAAAATGTATTATGATTTTTTTTTGAAACATTGAAGGTGAATGCCGTTTCTACGACAGTCTTAGAAGTGCAAATAAAAGGTCGTCTGATTATATTCTGGATTATTCCGAAGACGTTGTGTTAAGTGATCACGATTTAGAAACGAACTGGTATCGAATTATAAGTGACAACGGAGACATGATGCCGACTTCTGCTCCAGGATATAAGCATTGCGGAACGATTTATCCAATCTGGCTGAATGGTAAATAAAATATTTCATATTCTAAGCAGTCACACACAAATCAAAACATACATACACACCCATAGCCAAATAATACTGATAAAAGAATGAGCTATATTTCTGTTATAAGCTGCCAACACCGAAACGCTTTCGTCAGCACAATCACTTATCAGCTGTACAACACGGTAACCTCTGACTATAAAACGGATAAAGCGTAATTATATTCTTACTTATAGAATCTACGAGCTGCAATAAGCTGAAAAAAAACCGTGAAATAAAATTAAACATCAGAGTAAGCTCATATTCTACCATTTAAAACATAAAGTCTGCTAACTCACGTTACAACTTTTAAGAACAAGATATTCTTTTTGATTATATACCTGTATGGAGTTATTTTCTTTCAGAACGAAAGGTATTTCTTTTGAAGAATCAACAGGACGATGTAAATTTTCAATGAAATTTGCTTCAAGGCATAAAATAATGACCTATGTAAGGTCATTATTTTCCGTGATTAAAATGCAAACTATAATTTACTTAAACATTTAATTCGTTTTGATTGTTACCGTGTGTTGTTGCCAATTGGAATTTGGAATTTAACTTTTTAGTTTTCCATGTTTGATAGGTTTTAGACAGAAACAATTTTCCGTTTATTAAACTGAAATACCAAAAATCGTCGTTGACGCACATTTTAACTTTCGAAACAAATAACATGAAATTTTGTTAATTTATCGCTGCAATAATTATGTGAGATGAATTTAATAATGCAAAATTTTTCATAACACTTTTAAACCGAGCCAGATTTATTAACACAATGTAGGATTTTGACAATCTTATTGATTCACACTGTATTGAAAATCATACTATGAGCTATGGATATTCGTGTTACATGCACATGTATCACGATTTCGTGCTCTCTTCAGGCCAGTTCTTAACTTTTGACGTATATATATTCCTTATACTCTATCAAATGATCAAATGACCAAATAGTCTTATTTCCTATAGAATAACAGCCACGTTCTTTATAATCGGGTGGTGGGGTATAATATTTAATTCTGATTTTCATTTTTTTTTAAATTGTATTGCCAGACAAAAGAGAGAAAATAATTATTCTGCATAGTTCGTTTCAAAACTTGTTGAAAAAATAATCTGCTTTTCCGCGATCAAAATATCATGAAAAAAAAAGAAAAAAACATAGCATCCCCCTTACATAAACTTAGAGTGCATTTCTTTCTAACCAAAATTTTGTAAACGTTGTGTGGCGTTTGTTGTTGTTTTCTAAACGCTACAAAAGTAGAAACAAATACATCGTTAAATCAGTGTTTACTGACCCTGTTTGAACTTCCAATAATGCATGCACATGTTGTTGGTAAACAGACTTTTTGCAAACGTAGAAACAAATACATCGTTTAATCAGGTTGAAGTTAGAAACAAATGTAGCGTTTGTACTAACAAACGATGAACGACAAACTGTAGACGCATTTTTAGCGAGTGCATAGTTTGTCAAAGTTTATGTAAACTTTGCAAACGTATGTTAGAAACAAATGATCAAAACATGTGCGCGCTTAGCAGTTTGCATCGTTTGTGTTAGAAAGAAATGCACTCTAAGTTGATACAATAAATTACTTACAAAGTGACTTGTATTTTTCATACACCGTAACAATTCATGTGTGTCTTGCTTCATGCAGTTACAGTAATGTTTTTATTGTAACTGGATAATGATTTCTAAAGTTTATATCTAGATTAATTAGTGAGTTTTATTTCACATCATACATGAACCGTAGGGCGTAATAGAGCTTTCTTACAATTTGACGAAAGGTGCGTACGCATGACGAACCATAATACGTAAGACTCGTTTGAGGGATCCTTTATTTTGACATATTTATGTAATCATAATCGAAGCGTCATGGAATTTTGATGGCATTTCACTTTAATGTTTGCCTATTAAGGGCATACGATACAGTTTTGATCCCATATTGAAATTTTGATAAAAATTTGCATGTAGGCTATTTTTTACCTGATTAAATCAAATATGTAATAAAAAATATCCCTTCATGTGCTACTTTTTGAGTAAATTGAGGTTCAAATTTCAGATATTTTCTCAAAATACGGATTTATGGACTTATTTTTCCTTTCGATAGAAATACATAACTTTTTTGTTTTAAAAGATAAACACGAGCTGTTTTTGGTTAAATAATTTGTAATTAATGTGTTATATAAATATTGTATAAATTTGTACATTTTATTTTTACAAATAACTCAAATTTCTCAAATGTTCATGAATGTAGAAAAAACCGTCAATTTTTGCTGTAAATTAATCAAATTTTAAAAAATTGCACTATTTACGTTTTCATGAAAATTGGTACACATAATCTTCTTACGTAATCAAACCAAATGTCATTTTAAAAAAGATGGGTCCATGAACTCGTTTTGAAGTTAAATCAGTTTGAATGATAAAAATCAGCCGAAAACTGCATATTTTCCCGATAAGTCAACGTTTGACGTCGCGAAAATAACAATTTACGTTAGCAACGTCATTACCTCCCCTGTAACTGTATCGTATGCCCTTAAGGACCATTGCACTGCATCCAATTACCCGTGTTTAACTTGATTTTTCGTGAGATATAGGAATTGCGGGACGTTCGAAAGGTGAAAATATAATACCACCAGGGGGAAGGAGATAATTCTTCAAAATTTCCTAAATATAGGCTCGTCAGAAGAAAACAAACATTTAAAAAAAAAAGATTGTGCTCAACCCCCAGCCCCCCCCTAAAAACAACAACTTTGCATTATTTAACCGAAGAAAATACGAAGGCAAATACATTGTCTTCCCCCTTACACAAAAAATAAGATAAAATAAAAAACAAATACTTCCTAAATTCAAAAATTTGCAACCCCAAAAATAATAAAATGAAAGAAAAAATGACCTGCAAAACATATTATGCCAGGACTCGTTTAATAACTTGCAGTGATGTGTCCATATACCCGAGTTAGGGTCACATATGGAACCGTTCTTTCAGCGTATAATTGCGTTTTCGTCCTGAACATTCATGAAATATTTACTACTGGACGTTAAGCGACCAATAATCATATATAATTAGTTGATCTTTAATTAGTGCTCAAGGGCGGATTTTATGGTTGAGGTGCACCCGAGGGCCTCACGTGGAGGGCCTCTACTCAGCAGACTCATTCCTAGCCTCCTGTCCTAAATCTTCACCTTGGTCTATTATTTACATCTAAGTCAGAGACAGAGACGATGTAATTTTCCTCAACACCCAAGTTTTCCGTTTTTTCTTTGAGTGTAACTTGTTTGTTTATCTTCTTTTTTTTACCATTTAATGCTTGTTATACAGTGTGAACTATGTAGCGTTCATATTAAACTTATTTGCATTGATGTTGATGATCATATATTTGTTGGTTGGCTAAATTTATAAACGGACTATTCTAGAAAGGTTTGTTATTGATCATGTCCGTACCGAATCAGTTGCGTATGTAGCATTACCTGACGATATTACTATTTGAAAAAAAACAGACCATGAAAATCATCTGTTGAATACTAAGGTAACGACCCTTAACTTTCAGGGGGGCATAGTATTTGTTCCGTTTCACATTTGTTTCCCGCGATCGCAACAGTCACATTATTTTTTTTTATCACATTTAACCTTAAAATTGATAGAAAAAAATTTATTGCAAATCTTTTTCCCCAGATTTATTTCACTTTACTTTTTCAAAACATTGAAGCATCCTTGTTTTGCAAATCTCGACGTTGACAATTTGATGATAGCATACTCATAGAAAATAAAAATAATTGTAAATATTGTCGTTAAATTTAGAGTATAATACTTCAATAATTTCATTAAAATGTTAATGTTAAAATGCATGCTTGAACAATTCCCGCGCAAATGTGTACAATCGTGGTTAACATAAGTAACGTATTTGAAACTTTTTTTTCTTTATTTTCAGATATTCAAAGCGTGTTTTATTTGCGATATGTTTAAATTTTTAAAGATACGTTTGATTCAGAAAAGAATACTGTTCTACCTGATAAGACAAAGACCCTAATTGAAATTGTGAAAATGTAATACATGCTCCCTTTACGTCCGTTTGTACTGTTCGTCAAAATGTAAGAAAGCTCTAATAAAACCCGAACGCACCAGAAAAGAATATCACACTTTAATTTGGTTGGTAAAATAGGATGCGAATCCTGTAAATATTTACAGGAATAATATTTTTTGACGGTATATAAGTCAGATAATTCATATTGTAAAGGTTTTTCTTGTCGTGTAACACACATCGGGATGCCAGGAGTGCCCATATTTTACGACGGAGAAAAACCTCAAAATATGCATTATCTATAACAGATTCACCCTCAAAGACAAAAGATGAAAGGGGTTTTCTTGACATTTATACTATTTAACGCATCAAAATGTGATCTGCTTATGCGTTTAAGGAGTTAGCTAAGCTGAAACAAAATAAATACATTTTGGATGCTATTATTTATTTATCAATACAAATGTGTTTATTGTCAAATACCATTGAAAAACAAACTTTGTAAAAAGGAGAATTTGCGGAAGTCGGGAAGCCACCTAACAACATCAAACGAAATAGAAGCAAGGTTGTAGAAAAACTTAAATCTACAGTTTGAGAAATAAAAAGATCACAAATGCCATTAAGGCAAATATTGCTCTAAATAAAAACAAACATTTAAGACAATATTAACATTTATTACGATGTTTTAATATTTACAGATCTAAATGGTTAATAGATTTAAGAGAAACCCTTGAATCATAGACAGAGACTTACATATCTTTAGAAAAAACTTCTTTTATATTGATTGATATATTGATTAATAGATATAAGAAAATGTGGTATGAGTGCCAATGAGACAAATCTCCATCCAAGTCACAATTTATAAAAGTAAACCATTATATGGCTGTTAAATGTTCAATGGTAAAATTGCAGCTTTTTTTGTATTGGTGTGAAAATTTACATTATGTATTAAAGACATTCAAACTATCTTTTTTTGCAAAAGTGACATTTTATTGTAAGTAAAACGTTTTGGCCATGAGAACAGTGATTTTCGAATCATTATTTGGGTCTTTTTTATGTTATTCCTAGTTCGTTTTGTAAAATTGATTCAGTTTTTTACGTGATTAATTCGTTTTAGGACAACTGCCAAGTTATGAGGATGGTAATGTGACGAGAGAGGCTTGCCTTCAGACAAAAAATGACATATGTGAACAAAAGATTAATATACAGATTAAAAATTGTGGTAGATTTTATATTTATTACCTTCAACGTTCAACGGAAAACTCGTCGTATTGTTTTGGTATGTACAAGTTGTTGTCATAATTATAAGTAGAAGAGTCAGTATCAGCACTAGTAGTTTTTGTAGCATTGTTTCTGTTTTTATACATTATACAACAATTAGCTTTTCAATGTATTACTGCATTGAATTTCTTTTCATGGTATTTTTTTTTTATTTGAAATGTAATATTCAAACGATATCATATCATATTGTTGTTGAAAAAGTACGAAGGAAAATTAGATATATACACAAAGAATAGCTGTGAAACAAGTTGCTTTCTTTAAAAAAAGAAAAACAATACGTGAATCCGAGACTGCTGACTGGTCACCAAATATGTTTTGCTGAATTTATTTTTGCTTTTGATTTGAAATAATTGACTGTTAATAGAATGAGGTAATGGATATTAAAACATCTTTATTGGAAATATGTTATTGTGTGTAGATTCTTGCACAAGTTAATTATAATCACTGTTAGACTTTAAAGTTGTAAATAGAAGAAAATTGTATACAGCTACCATTTGAGATTACCTTTTAAGGCTTGACTATTTTATTTATTAATTGGGAGTGTACATCATTTTTTCTCCGTTGTTTATGTACACAGATCTAATCCTATTGCAATTGTCAATTTCTGCAAACCGGATGTCTAAAGCAAATTGCACAGACAAATTAAGATATTAAGTTCAGCTTTACTTTATAATCTGGAATATCTTCATAATTTGTTTCCTGGATGCTTTAAATTATTCCTATACTCATTGAAGCTTTTTGAACTCATGAAAGATGTGGTAAAGGAGATTAAAAGTCCAATTTCCAATTGAAGTGTAACTCTGTGACACAAATTATAAGAAGATTTCGTAGTTTGTTCATGAGAGTAACACACCAGCTTCATTAGGACCTCTTATATACTGACAATTATTTTGGTCAGATAAAACATTTCAAATTTTTAAAATTCCCTGAAGTAACTTAAATCAATTAAAAAATTCGACAGGAAAACTTAGTTTTGAAAATATCTTGTTTTCATAAGTCTTGTGAATACCCGAACATGCACTCAAAAGAACCAATTTATACAAAAAGTTCATATTTGGTAAAAGCCAACTCATCATGGACACATGGTCAGGATTAAAGTTTTGTACACTAGACGCGCGTTTCGACTACAATAGACTCATCAGTGACGCTTGAATCAAAAAAGTAAAAAAGAGCCAAATATAGAACAAAGTTTAGGAGTATTGAGGACTCAAAATTCAGGAAAGGTTTAGCCAATTACAGCTAAGGTAATCCATTCCTCGGGTTATCCTTAGTATTTCGAAAATTTCAAGTTTATAATAGGGCAGCCACTCAAAATGAAAGAAAAAGATTTAAAAAAAACCATCTAGATGTCGGAGTACCTCAATGATGGGCATGCTTCACAATCACCTGTCAAGCTCTTACTGCCGTGTCCTATATTTAGATAAGAAATGCAAAACAAATCACCTTCCACGAGTGAAATCAATGTTTATGCATGTACGTAGTTATCTTGTGCAAGAAATAGCAAATAGCATGCACACGTACTGATATTCTTAAAAAGAATAGGCATTTGTGTCATCACGTATATTGATTCTAGGTTCAAATCTAATGTTAGTTGAATTCCTATTAAATTCCGAAATTTGTGTCAACGCAAACCGATATTGTTGTCAAACCAGATTTTAAACATGGCGTTGTCAATTTATTTTCGACTTATGAGTTTGAATGTACCGCTGGTATCTTTCGCCTCTCTTTTAAATCCGGTTTTGTTGTGTCGTGTCAACAGGATGTAATAATAATAGTAATATTATGTAAATAAACCACAAGACGTTTGTAGGCTAGCTGGTCAACACAATGCATTCAATTTTAAAATTCAAAATCGCACAATCATTGCAAAGATTAAGATGCTATAAGTTTGAACTATTAAAAACAAAAAAAGAATTCAAATTTAATTAACATACATTCCTAGCTGTTAATAAGTCTTTTCCAGAAATTTCAAATATACTGTCAATAAACACAAACGTCAAGTATTTACTAATGGCTTTTCTTTTTATAAATCAATCTCTTCTCCAAGTCTAACTTTCTATTTTATTCCTATACAAAATATAAGCAGAGACTTATAAAACCATACGTTAACGGTACAAAATTAAAGATAATATAACATTATAATAATTAATTATTATATATATTCTATTATTAATAATTTAGTTTCAGTTTAGACTCTAATAATTTTAATGAATATTTTTTTTGTTCTGTTAGTATCTACTAAGGAATTGTATATTTAAATCTTTGTATCTACTAATGAAAATAACTATTTTAGACAGAATATCGTTTTGTTTAATTATATTTCTGTTTTGCGACCTAAGATAAATATTTTTAACAGTACATGTAATATCGTTTTGTTCATTTTCTTCTTGCTTTCCGACATTTGCTCAGGCTATGATGGAATTACAAATATGACACGTTAAACGTACAGAAACAATCAATTTATTCTGGAACATAATTTAATGTCAGTATATTATTCCCATGGTTATTGTCACAATGCACAATAGCACGTTTTATCAAATTCTACACAAACAACGCGTAAAGGGACCGTCTCAAAACGTAAACTATATAATTGTAAGATCATTATACTTCATATTTAATACTTTCAAAGAAAAACGCATATGTTTCTGTCAAAAGAAAAAGGTCGGAATATATAAATGTTTTTCTTACTGCAATCTAATCTTTATTTTTTTTACTTTCCGATCTACAAAATAACTTTAATTTGGTTGTCGAAATATGTATACAATGTCACGTGGTAACATATCATAAGAGGGGCCGTATCAAAGATATAGATAACTACCTGTATAAATGATCGAAAATTTTCGAGACGCTCCGAGAATCTTGTTTCCGAGGATATCGAATGGCCTATAGAAGCTTTCAAAACTCACCAATATATAAGCGTGAACCCCTCAGGGGTTTCACGCAAACATTTCGCCACAACTCTGTTTATTCCAAACACCCACAACAAAAACTTTAATGATTAGATACTGGTTATGTTCTTCTCGTATGTTTTATGATGGTATGATATTAAACCCCTAACGGGAGGGATTGTGCTTGATTTTCATGTGGTGCAGACATAATCTGTCAATCAGTCTAATGGATGTCTGGAGCTGGCATGCCAGTAACTGCTAGTAGTCCTTTGTTAATTTATGTATCATTGTAATTTTGCTTAGTTTCTTCTGTTACCTATTTTAACATTGGACTCGAACTTTTTAAAACTGAGTTTTACTATGCGTATTGCTGTCTGTTTGTTTATTCTACACTGGCTAGAGGTATAGGGGGAGGGTTGAGATCTCACAAAACATGTTTAACCCCGCCGCATGTTTGCGTCCTGTCCCAAGTCAGGATCCTCTGGCCTTTGTTAGTCTTGTATATTTTTTTAAATTTTGATTCATTTATATGTTTCGGAGTTTGTGACGTCTATTTTTGCTGAACTAGTACACATTTTTGTTTAGGGACCAGCTGAAGCCCACCTCCGAGGATTTTCTCGCTGTGTTGAAGACCGATTGGTGGCCTTGGGCTGTTTTCTGCTCTTTGGTCGGGTTGTTGTCTCTTTTAAACATTCCCCGTTTCCATTCTCAATTTTCCTTACTATGCAGGTCCGGAACAAGTAAGAAAATACAAAATGGAAACCTAAAACATATGTCAATGAAGAACAAATAACACCATGGCAAAAAATAGAAAAAAAAAACAACCAATAAGACACCATGAAATTAAAGATTGAGCAAAGGAACCCAACCAAAATTCTTTGACTCAAGTATTTCTTGTTTGACTAATGACTCATGTCATTTGACTCATGACAAGTGCAACTTTATTGGTAACTCGCATTCGCCAATAGTATAAGGAATGCAAGGGATTATGAGGAGGTAAATTCAACAACCTTCAGTTCAGAAAATCCTTTATTGAATTGTAAGAATGAAACCTTTATCAATGAAATTCTGCAAGGAAACACAAGATCTGAATTATCATATCGTTTTCGAAAACTATATTTCTATTTGCGCCTGAACATAAAAAAAATGGCAATATTCAAATATATCAATTATACAAAACTAATATGAGATTTTTCAATACTTGTAAATTTTAAATTATTTTCAAGCTAAGCTTACACTTTCTTTTATAATATTCTACAAATCAGGTAAAGGTCCAGTTTTCTGTCCAGATGGAATGTCGTCTGATACTGGATATTATCCAGGATGCACATGTAAGTTTTTTATACCTTATTCTTTTCTGATTTCAAGTGCGAATAAATGAAAATAATAACTAATATTTTCATGCATCCGAAGCGCTTTTCTGGATTGACGTTCATTAGTAACGCCCAAATGTACAAATTTGAAAGCTAAGGATAATAAATACATAAAAACGCCAGGAACTATATGACCTAAAGCATGTAAAGATAACTACAGGGAATATCCAAATTCATCTAAGGTCAAATCTTACAGACAGAGTTGGAACCTTATTTTTATTCAAATCTTGAAAAAAAATACGAACGGTTTTAACAATACATACATTGTATCAAATAAAGTAATTTAGCTTAATCTCGACCCTTATTATTACTGCATTATGGGTTTTTCTTCTATATCGGATATCATAAGTTACAATATTAAATTTATTTTAATACCGTGTGTATTAAGTGTCGCAAAATTATTCCTGGTATAATAATTGCCCAACTTTTAACACTAATATCCGTTATGTAATTAAACTTTTAGTAATTTGTATACTGTATTTGTAGAACACTTAGATGCTTTAAATAAAAAACAAATTCTTGAATATAAGATGACATTTTACTGTATTTTCAAATTCAGCACGAATTTAATGTATGTTATGTTCTATATATTTGTCATTTTTCAGTATTTCACCAGAATATTTTTTGCATACTTTCTATTATATAACTCAGTGTAGCATGGTAGATATGTTTAATACTTCACATAAGAGAGTACAACATACAGATAATCTAATAACCCAATACAATATAAGACCAATACATGACATCCCCCCTTTTTTGAAAAGTGTTCTTTGTAAGTTTGCTGTTCAACTCAAATTAAATTAAATTAAACTACAGTTCTCTCTTTAAGAATAAAGTCTGATTCAATGTATGCAATATAGATAAAGTTCTGCTGGATATTACTGTTAAAGTTTAAGTTGTCACATCTTATTCATTGGTAATAAAGTTCTAATGGATTTCACTCATGGTATAAATTGTCACTTCTTACAATGTCTTAAATCTTTGGGTTTTTTTATCATAAATTGTCTCCTTTAAAACAATGTTAATACTGATATCAATCATTATAATTAACTATTATTGTTATTGTTATTGTTCTTAACCATGTCTATTTTTCAAGATAAAACAACTATTCTACGGAGTATTTAACTAAAAAAAATGACTAGATCTACTGACTAGAAATACTAAATAATATGACAACAATAATATTTCAGAACTTTCACTAATTTGACATTTTGAAATCTTAGATTTTCACTTGATATCTTAGATTTTTTAAACTTGATATCTTAGATTTTCACTTGATATCTTAAATTCTCACTTTCTTCACAACATGATTGATATTTCCCACTCTATATATTTTATCATATTTTATATGCACATATTTTTTCCTATTTTGCTTTCACATAGATTTCACACATATTTGTTTTGCTATTTTGCTTTCACGTAGATTTCACACATAATTTTCAAAGCTATTTTCTATACATAAATTTCCTGATTGAATTACATACATAAATCATTATATTTGATCGGCACTTTAACGGATCTTCCTGATCTTGTGCTGCAAGCTGGTTCAACGGATTTCCTTTCTATTTGAGATTCCTGATTTTGAACAAGTTTGTTTACTTCTGTTGGTTGTTTGAAATTTTCAGTGATAGGATCATTACGGATTTCTTGTTGAGGTGAATTAACATCCAAATTTTGTTCAATTTCACTTTCTGGTTGAAATGTTGCTTTTGTTGTTTAAGATGTTTACGGTATCTTCTTGGGCGGTTACCTCCAAGAGTTTCAACTATATAGGATCTGGGTGTTTCATGTTTTCGGACAACCTTTCCAGGTGTTAACTGATTGTTGCGTTGATTCATAACTGTTTCGTTGTGTTTTAGTTTTCTCAACGGTTTTCCACCGTGTTTGTTGAAATAGTATTCCTGAGTTTGTTGTCTTTTGTTATATAGTTTTTTTTATCTTTCTGTTCATTTACAAAAGTTGGTTTCAACAGTGGCGCTGATGTTGGAAGACTCGATTTTAAACGTCGTCTAATATGTAATTCTGCTGGTGATTGCTCGATTTCATCTAACGGTGTTTTCCTGTATTTCAACATGGCTTTGTATGGATCTTTGCTCTTCTTGATATGATTTTTCACTGTTTGTACAAATCTTTCTGCTTGTCCATTTGCTTGTGGATAATGTGGACTAGTTGTCGTATGGACAAATCATATTCTTTTGCAAACTGTGCAAATTCCCTGCAGGCGAATTGCTTACCATTGCCTGTGATCAACTGATCAATGTATCCAAATCTAGATATTTGCTTTTTTAAGTAGCAAATTGTATTTGATAAACCTAATTCATCAAGTTTATAGATTTCTGGCCATTTTGAATAATAATCAACTGTTAGCAAATAATGTTCTCCTTTGAATTGAAACTAGTCAGCTGCTAGTTTAGATGTAGGTCTATCTGGAAGCTTTGAAGTTATCATAGGTTCATTGTTGTTAGTTTTCTTGTTGTTTATTGCGCATGTTTCACAACATGAGCAACACGACGGGTGCCACATGTGGAGCAGGATCTGCTTACCCTTCCGGAGCACCTGAGATCACACCCAGTTTTTGGTGGGGTTCGTGTCGCTTAGTCTTTAGTTTTCTATGTTGTGTCTTGTGTACTATTATTTGTCTGTTTGTCTTTTTATTTTTTAGCCATGGCGTTGTCAGTTTATTTTCGATCTATAAGTTTGATTGTCCCTCGGGTATCTTTCGCTCCTCTTTCACATTTTTCTAAAATGTCTTGTATATCGGACATCATTCCAGGCCAATACATGAACTCTCTGGCTCTGGTTTTGCATTTAACGATTCCCATATGTGTTTCATGGATTAGTTGTAACATTTCTTTACGTAAGCTTGTTGGTATTATAAGCTTTAAGCCTTTGTACATTAGGTTATCGATGCAGGTAATTTCATTTCGAAATTGCCAATACATTTTTAGATTTTTTGGTAGTTCTTCTTTTTTCAGTGGCCATCCTTCCTCATTTGTTTTCTTCATTTGTTGCAAAATTTCATCACTTTTTGTTTGTTTTTTAAACAGTTCATATTTCTCAGGTGATATTGGAAGATGAGCATTTAACTGAATCTCATTAATTTCTATATCTGGTACCAGTTTTTCTACTGTTTCTTGTAAGTACATTCTTGACAATGTATCTGATACATACATAGATTTTCCTAGCTTTTATCTGACAATAATGTCATATTTCTTTGTATTCTTGGCGGTGCCTCATTTAGTGGTTTACTGAAAATATTTTTAGTGGCTTATGATCACTTTCTACCTCCACTTGTCTACCGTATACATAATTGCAGGAACTTTTGGCATCCAAAAACAATATTCAAAGTCTCTTTCTCAATTTGAGCATATCTTTGCTGAGTTGGAGTTAGTGCTCTCGATGCATAGGCAATAGGCTTGTCATTTTGGAGTAACACGGCATCTAAGCCTTTTGAGCTTGCATCAACATTCAATGTTAGTGGCTGTTTTGGATCATAGTAGGATAGAATAGGCGCATTTGTGGCCATGTCTTTGAGTTTATTAAAACTAGTGTCGTGTTCTTTTTCCCAACACCACTCATTCTTTTCTTCTTAAAGTACTCTCAATGGAGCACTGACATCCGACATAGTAGAAAGAAATTTACTAAGATAAGTTTTAAAACCAAGAAATGTTTGTAATTCTTTCTTGTTTTCTGGTTGTTCATCTTCTGGACTGCACGCACCTTTTCGGGTCCGGTTTCAACCCATCTTTACTAATAATGTGTCCAACATATTCAACTTCTTTTTTTCTGAATTGACATTACATTGATTTACTAAGTTTTAAATTGCATTGTCTTGCTCGATCTAAAACTTGTTTCAGTCTCTCATTATGTTCTTGAATTGTAGATCCCCAAATGAGTATATCATCTACGATTACTTCTGCTCCTTCAATATTTTCCATGATTTCAGTCATCACTCTTTGAAATATTTCCGGAATGGACTTTATTCCAAACGGAGCTCTCAGGAAGCGACACATTCCAAACGGTGTATTGAAACATGTCAGTTTGCTGCTGTCTTCATCTAGTTTGAGATGCCAAAATCCTGACGTTGCATCAATTTTACTAAATACTTTAGCATTCGGGATATTCGCTACTGCTTCTTCTACAGTCTTCACAGGGTAGCTTTCCCTACTTATCGCTTCGGATCAATGCATACATATTTTAACATCTCCATTTGACTTAACTACAGTTACCATACTATTGACCCATGCAGTAGGTTCTTTCTGTCTGACGATTACTTCTAGTTTCAGCATTCGGCCTAGTTCAGTTTTGATTCTACTTTTTAGTGACACTGGCACCTTCCTTGGTGGATGTACCACAGGGGTACTTCTATCGTCTACATGTGTTTTATGTATTCCAGGTAAACATCAAAGTCCAGTAAATAAATCTGAATATTTTGCTTCTAGTGTATACACTCTTTTGATTAAGCCTACTTCTGAGCATGTCGCAGCTCCTAATACTGGTTGCGATTTTGTATTGGCAACACAAAATTCTGTTTTTTAAGTGTAACTGGTAAAGTTATTCCGCCATCACATTCTATATTGTGCCCAGAGAATGATTTCAGTCTTGAATCTGGTTTGCTTTATAAACTATTTGTCTTCATACGTCTAAAATCTGAACGATTTAGAACATTACACCATGCACCAGTGTCAAGTTGAAAGTTAATGCTACTCCTACTGTGATATCTTCACACCATGTGTCACTTTCATTTTTTTCATTGAACAGTGCACCAACAAATAAAGTGTCGGAGTCACTTGAGTCATAGTAGTTAGAACATTCTTCTCTGTCTATCTCATGTACTTTTTTCTTTTCTGGTTTTGCACATTTTAGCAAAATGATCTTTTTTTGTCACACTTTTTACATTGTTTACCTTTGGCTGGGCAATAACTTCCTGCGTTATGATCATAACCACACCTCTGACATACATGTAGTTTTGCTTTGTCCTGTTTATATTTAGATCTAGCACCTTGTTCATATTTGTGTGGATAACTGTTTTTTGAAGTTTGTTTTGAGTATATTTTCTTTCTGTTTATACTGTTGACATTTGGGTCTTCCTCAATATTCATTGTTTGTATTTGTCTTTGAGACAACTCATAAGTTCTTGATATATCTAAGGCTTTTTCTAATGTAAGTTCAGACCCTTCATTTATTATTTTTTCTCTAACTTTTGATGATTTTGTTTCAAATACTATCCTGTCTTTGACCATTCTATCCGGGTTTGCATACTGGTAATCTTTGACCAGAACTTTAGATCTGTTACAAATTCGTCACAAGTTTCAGTTGTTTTTTGTAGTCTACATTCGAATTTATAGCTTGAGAAAACTTGGTTGGATTTGGGTTTTACATAGGCCTCAAAGTTTTCGTAGTATTTTTCCAGTTCTTTCAGGTCATCAGCGGTCATATCCCATGTACTATAAACATTCTGCCCTTCTCACCTACCCATATCATAATATATGCACATTTTTCATCTCCCTGCTTCTTTTGCAACGGCCCTTGGAACATGAATTCGCAATGCGTTTTAAATGCTTTCCAGGTCCCTGGGAGATCCCCACTGTCCCAGTTCATACAGGGTGTTCTACCGTTTATACCGTCTGCCATTTCACATCGATAAGTTTATTTGACACAAATCTAAATGTTTATATTAATGACTAGGTTTTTCGGCTTCTTCTTGGTCCTATTTCCATGATTTTCGTGGACCGACATCGGACACCATATCATTTAACTCAATGTAGCATGGTAGATATGTTTAATGACTTCACATAAAAGAGTACAACATACAGATACATCTAATAACCCAATACAATATAAGACCAATACATGATACTTTCCACCCACACATTTTTTCTAGAGCATATTCTTTCGTCGTCCGTATTTAGGAAATCTCAGAAATTAAATAGATTTGAAATAGCCATCATGACTGAAATCGTTCCTGAAATATATGATAGTTTTGGAAAACTGTTTTATTGATTAGATTGATATTAAGAAGGGGAAGTTTTTAAATGAAAAGACACTTAACTAAAGTTCATTAAAACATTTTTCGCCTTTGATACTTTCTATTTATATATAAATCAACCAAACCTAGCCTGGATTGTCTCATTATCAAGATAAGAATTACACAGTGTATGTGACACGTGATTTGTTTAGTTTCCGTCCATGCTCTTTTTTTCTGAGGGCTTTTTCTTCCAAAAATCATATCAATCTTAAATGTTAAATTAGATTTAATAAGACCCAAAAAAATCATTTTTAGTTTGGACCTTTACTTAACCTTGAATTAGTAACGTTACAAATACATCGTTTTGTTTTTTGCTTCGGACACAAGGAATGTATGAAGCGTTATTTTTGTATTGTTTGTATCTCAATTTTATCCTCATTCTTTTTTCTAGATATCCCTGATGAATTTGATAAAAAATGCCATTCCAAAATGAAAGAGTTGGTGTATGTTTCATTATAATTTGAAGTAAAAACTATATATTTCAATAGCAAACTTTCCAAAAGAGATTGTACCAGTAAATGTTGACGCTGAACTAATAGAAGGACAAAGCTATCCTATACCAATACATGGTAACCAGTTCTATCCTAGCTTATTACCAGTATTCCGATGTAAATTTACTGAAGTTTCAGAAGTCAGCTACGTTTATGACGTTCTTTGGTACATTAATGGAGTTCATGTAATCAGTCATTTGAATTTACCGTTTGAAAATATCAATTCTACGGTCCTGAGAGATACAGATTGGATAAATAAATTTAAGATGAACATGGAGGTAATTGCTTAAAAATAGTAAATAAATGAATGGAAATATTTTTAAAGATGTCTTTTATTTTTTTAATTTGAATTAATATATTTTACACAAACGTTTAAAGCATTGCATGCAATTATTTTGTATCTGCACGATAATGCTAATGTTTGTATAGATCTATCCGGCAATGATTCACTACAAGGTTCAATCCTTTTTATTCAGGTGAAATGTGCTATTCGTATGAGATATTCAACAGATTCAGTACCAGGATTGCATCTTTACAGTCAACATTATCAAGCTGGAGTTTATGTAAGTTACAGCAACTTTTTCACATTTTAACTATATACAAATACTAATAATACCATTTATAAATTGAGCTGAACTAAATATTTGAAATAACACGGCGTCTAAATGTGCTGTCAATAAAAGAAATCAAGCATCAAGGTGATATCAGTTTTGGAGATTATTTTGTTCAAATCATAGTTAGTTTTCTTTATAAAGTAGGATTTATTCCTTCCCAAAAAAAATATTTGTATCTACTTCGACCATTCTTATTTATATGTAAAAATTGGACTTATTCCTATAATCTGTCTTTCAGTTTCGAATAAACTCTATTATTTCAAAGCAGGAAGGTTTTTTAACCTCAGCCATAGAGGATATTAGCCATATTTTGCACAATCTTTTGGAATTTTAGGTTTTCAATGCTCTCCAACTTTTTTGATTCGAACACCACTTATTAGTCTAACTTAGACGAAACGACTGTCTGGCGTTCCAAATAATAAGCCTGATATTTTTGATGAGTTTGTGCAGAAGCTCTCAAGCATTTTAATTACTAGTTTATTATGACATCATGTCACTATGTCACGTTAAGAAAATATTCACAAAATGTCTTTGTATTCTGATTATGTTAGTTATCGAAGAAAGCGCTATGGTATATCATCAATATTTTTGGAATGCATGCTAGTTCACAAAGGAATCATCAGCAAATAAGTCAGTGCTTCGCTACAGGCACGATTTACAACATACTTTTATTAAGTTGTTCATTGATGAATTAAGAACTTATTCAGACACTAAGGTTCCAATTCTCTTAGGCAAAATGGATCTTACATGAATTTGGTTATAGTATTTTGGTCATACAGCTTGTCAGTTCATCAAGTATTTATACACTCATTTTTGGATTATTGGATTTGAGCGTTTCTGTTGAAGCTAATTGATACAAAAAAATAATTGTTATTTTCATTTTAATGTTTCTTTTTCTTATGTATTAACATTTTGTATAAAAATAAGGAGATGTGGTATTATTGCCAATGAGACAATCATCCACCAAAGTTCAAATAAAGTGGATGTAAGCAATTAAAGACAACCGTACGGCATTCAACAATGCGAAAAACACATACCGTATAGTCGGCGTACACAGTTTTGATTTTGACATTGCAAAATAATTGTTATAGCTGTCGCTGAATGAAATATATTCACAAAAACAGCGTCCCATATCACAGCTGTAAGAAGGCATTATTTCTGTATAGCATATTCTATACTTAGAGTTTGACGATGGTAAATCTAAGCATTTTTATGTCATATTATTTGGTATTGTTTTACTTGTGTCTGTGTTTTTTCCGTATGAAACATCAATTTTATAGGATAAAGTGCCGAAAACATTTTAAAAATTAAAATAAAAATTTAGTTATCTTACATGTTTGCTCCCATGGCGATTAAGAACGTGGTGGCATGTAATTGTCTTCTCTTCTTTGAAGCAGTAAAAAGTTCAGGCATTGATTTGTTTGTTTTCTCTAAAAAATAAAGACAATTTTAATGTATAACTTAACATATATATCATTTTAACACAAATGGCGTTTATTGGTTTTTACCATAATTATGCATTGAAAAGGCAAGCATGGATAATTCATAAAATTGAGAATGGAAATGGGGAATGTGTCAAAGAGACAACAACCCGACCATAGAGCAGACAACAGCTGAAGGCCACCAATAGGTCTTCAATGCAGCGAGAAACTCCCGCATCCGGGTAATTCATCATATTTTCAATAATAATGGCAATCAAGTTTAAAAAAGAAACACGCTGAGGACTTTAATACCGGATGAACTAATTAAAAAGTTTTTACCACAAGTCTGTTTACAATAAAAAATAGTCATAAAAAAATAGTGTGATGAAATATATTCAACTACTCGGTGTCAATCAGATGTGGATTCTAAAAAAGTTAAAGATCTCTTTAAAATCATTACAATTTTGCAGTAAAACTTTCAACGCTTTGAACTACTTTTCCCGAATGGTCGATTGAAAGATTGAATACATCGTCTCATTAAACAGATCTTTGTCTAAATGTGAAAATGTGAATCGCAGGTACAAATTACTTATTATAGGTCATGAAAATCTTACTTTGTAAAGAACCACACTGATTTCAAAAATCAAATGATATCAACGGAATGCGGCACTTTTTATCGACAGCATATTTGTTGCGTTTGGTGGATAGATATTTAAAAAAAAAGTCGGAATTCCAATTAGTACCAATTGTGCAACATTTTTTGTCGACTTGCTGTTTGAACTCATATGAAGCAGAATTCATGCAAAAAAAATCTTAAAGACAAAATAATGCAAAGTTCTTTAATTTCACTTTCAGATATATTGATTATAATTCACTCGTCACTCATTCACGAACATTTCAATCATTGCTTGCATATCGTGTATCCGAGTGATTTGAAGATTAAGGATACTACCGAAACTAGAAGGTCTGCTCAATATCTTGATTTTTCCTTGATATTCACAAAGATGGACGACTATGACAAACGTCATGATTTCAACTTTCCAATTGATACGCTACGCTCGTGAATGTTCACGAAATGCGTTCTTCAATAGTAGGGATGGGCTCCTTAAACAAAAACTGCTTTGATTTATGAAGAATATCGACTAAACCTACATAAGTTTTACGGTCACCATCACAAATTGGTTAACCAATACGATATGTCTGTGCACCAACTTACTGTTGCTGTTACTGATACAGTTAAGTCTGCCTCATATCTTGACTTACATCTAGAAATTGACAATGATGATCCGTTGAAAACAAACCTGTACGAAAAAAGACATGATTTCAGCTTCCCAATTGTGAACTTTCCATTTCTATGTAGCAACATTCCAACAGCACCTGCATACGGAGTAGATATTTCCCAGTTGATACGATAATCCAGGGCTTGTATTTCCTTGATAGAGGGTTTCTTCTGAAAAGGAAGCTATTAAACCAAGAGTTCCAAGTGGTGAAGTTGAAATCGTCCTTTCGTAAATTTACGAACGCTATCACGAGTTGACCGTTATGGAATATGCGTTTCACAGATGACAACGGATATGTTGTCGTAACTACAATCCCGTCCCAATTTCCTACCAACTTATATAAATAGACTATTACCGGGTTTGTACTAACATAAGCTACACGACGGGTGCCACATGTGAAGCAGGATCTGCTTACCCTTCAGGAGTACCTGAAATCACCCCCAGTGTTTGATCGGGTTCGTGTTACTCAGTCTTTGGTTTTCTATGTTGTGTTTTTTTGTACTGTTGTTTGTCTGTTTGTCTTTTTCTTTTTTTAGCTATTTTCGACTTATGAGTTTATATGTTCCTTTGGTATTCCTGGCCTCTCTTTTACTTGCGGCATGTTTTCGCAGCCTTAGATCTTCAGATATTAAAAATAATCGTCTATAATTTTACCGATTGTGTGCTATTCTAATTTTAACTGAGTGTATATTTGCATAGCAACTAATGCATGAATGGCAGGAGACGCTGACCCTGCAATTCTCTCAGTTATTATTAGTTACCTTGATTTGTCTTCTTAATGAGATCAGAATATCGACAGACTACTCTTGCCTTAAATTATACCTTTAGTTAATGATTACCTTAGCTGTATTTGGCAAAACCTTACAGAATTTTTCGTTCTCAATGCTCGTCAACTTTGTACTTTATATGGTCTTTTTAACTTTTTTTATTCGAACGTCACTATGAGCCTTTAGTAGACGAAACACGCGTCTGGCGTTAAAAATTTATAGCCTGGTGTCTATGATGAGTTTATTGATATATGAGCTTTGTCTTTGATTTCACGTAGTGTACGTACTCAAATTAAGGTTCAACGAAAATTTTGATTATTATATTTATTATGACAATAATGATAAAATTGTTTTGTTAATATTAATGTTATGATTATCTTTATTATAATATTATTAATTATAATATGATGTTGTTATTAATATCATTATTATCATTTTGATCATTATTGTTATTTGAAACTGTGAAAATATCAGACTAAATCATTTCTGCTTTTCTGCACTTTTTATAACAATATCTATATGTGTTTCCTTTACAGCCAGAAAAATATGAATATACTGTTATTGAAGGTGAATCAATCGACATAACCTTTACTTCGACTGTACCCGTCGGATGCATATCATCACATGATGCCGTCAGAAGACACTGTGAACAGAATTTATACATTTTTCAACCGAAGAATGATCAAACTTCAGCATCATGCAGGAACAACATTGCTAAAAAAGATGTAGTTTTTAAAGCTCAATTCTGTGGTATCAGCATTAAAAGTCTCCATTGGCAAAATGAAAACAAACTGCGTGTGTATGGTTTTAGTGACTCAATGTATAACTATCAAGACAGATCAACTGTCCTAAAGATATCTACATCAGCAGTATCGGATTTAAATGATATGTGGAAAGATATACAAGTTCCAGATATAAAGGTTAATACTGCAAATTAAAAAAAAATAATTTCAATTAGTTTCCTTTTTTGTCAGATAAACTAGCACAACTGTTGTTAGTCAAATTTATTTATTACTACCAATATACTATCAAAATCAAATTTAAAATTAAAGAGTAAATTAAGAATTTCCAAAAAGACAATTTAATTTATTTTATATGCATCTTGCTTAAAATTATGCTATATTCTTTCAGGTCACAGTTATAGACAAGGATTCGATACTTATTAACAGGCAATGTCGGTCTTACAACGACCCACATATAACCACCTTTGACGGGAGATTGTATCATTATATGGATGTTGGCGAATTTGTGATGTACAAAAATGACAAGGGTCCATATTCGGTACGTTTAAAAACATATAAGACGGTTAGGTAACCGCCATTCATATTTGTTTTTATTTGTTTGATTGAAAATTTCTTCAGATCCCACTTACGCAGTTTACAATTTTATGAAACAAATTGGCAATATCTGTTATACTTAAATGAGGAACAAAACGCCGTAACCGTAGAAGAATGAAGGTTTCAAGGTTATTCATCGCAAATGATGCCATAGTTACTGCTATTGATTTTTAAAATATATAAGTTTAATGTAAATACTACTGGTATTGAAAAACATTCGGACACATTCAGTTTAAAAGGTTGTTTTTATGCCCCCACCGTAGCGGTGGGGGCATTAAGTTTTACCCTTGTCCGTCTGTACGTACGTACGTTCCAATATTGGTTTCCGGGTTCTCTAACTTGAGTTTGCCTCAACCAAATGTTATGAAACTTATACACAATGCTTATTACCACAAAACACAGATCAAGTTTGAATTTTGGTGGCGTCACTTTAACCGTTCTAGAGTTATTCCCCCTTTATAAATGGAAAAATTGCAATTTTTTTTTAGTTCTCATTCTCTAACTTAAGTTTGTCTCAACCAAATGTTATGAAACTTATACACAATGCTTATTGCCACAAAACACAGATCAAGATTGAATTGGTGTCACTTTAACCGTTCTAGAGTTATGCCCTTTATAAATGGAAAAATTGCAAAATTTTTATTTTCTTCTAAATATCAAGTAATTTTTTTAAAATTGGAGTTATCTTCCTTTGTCCATGATTATAGTTGAATCAACTACAATCAATGTTTTATACAATGCAATGTTTAATTTTGACTTCCACTGATAAAACACAGATCAAGTTAAATTTGGGTAGTGTCACTTTAACCATTATTGAGTTATGCCCCTTTATAAATCGAAAGATTGCAAAATATCTAGTTTCCATTCTGTAACTAAAGTTTGCCCAAACCAAACATTATGAAACCTATACACAATATTCATTACCTCAAAACTAAGATCAAGTACAAATTTTTTGTTTCCGTTTTCTAACTTTAGTTTGCCTCAACCAAACGTTATGAAACTTATACACAATGCTTATTACTACATAATACAGATTAAGTGCGAAATTCGGTGGCGACACTTTTACCATTCTTGAGTTATGTCCCTTTATAAACATAAAAATTGCTGAATTTTTCGTTTCCGTTCCCTAACTTTGGTTTGTCTCCACCAAATTTTATAAAACTTATACACAACCGTTCTAGAGTTATGCGTGTTAACAAATAGAAAAATTGCTGAATTTTTAGTTGCTGTTCTCTACTTAAGTTAGCCTCAACCAAATGTTATGAGACTTACACACAATGCTTATTACCACAAAACTCAGATCAAGTTCAAATTTGGGTAGCGTCACTTTTACCGTTCTTCAGTTATGTCCCTTTATAACTTTATGATATGCAAGCGGGGGCATCATCTGTGTCCACATGTGGACACTATCCACATTTATTTTTGTTGTAACACTCATAATGTTTCATTATATTTACCAGGTGCATGCTTTATTCACAAACTGTGGATTTGGTTGGGTTGGGTCATCTTGTCATTGTGGTATAGCTGTAAGAAGTCGCAATTCATTGTTTGTTTTACGGACATGCCAGACGATATCAAGAACAGAGAAGCATTTACTTCAAGAACCTATTACTAAGCTTATAAGCTGTGATGAAAAGGATTTAGTAATAGAACATGATACAAGTCATTACAAGGTTTGTTAATACATGAATTTTTTTTATCTTAATTCACCTGCCTGTGTATAAGTAATGTTAAAATTAAGGGAGAACCTATCGTCTATGTCTATAAATAGGGCAATAACAAACTGTAAAAACCACCTGAAGGCACACAGTTCTACAGATTTTCTAAAAGACCTATGTATAAATAACACTGAATGCTGAACTCTTAAAACAACGCAAACCAGGAGTGATTTGAAATTCTAGGGAAAAGTTAGCATAATAATACCCTATACCCTTTATCGATTCGAATTTTCGTGACGAATAACATTATTGTAGCATGGAAATTAAATTTTAACGCAGCTTTCTCCCTTTTATCATACCTAGCTTATTTAAACCTTATCGGTGATGTGATTGTTGCGTCGGTTCGTGTGTGTATGTCCATTTGCCCGATTGTACAAGCACCGGTTTGTTTGTCAGTATTTATTTGCTATCTTATTTAAACCTTAGTCTATATTGCAACAATATTGCAAAAGAAACTTTATAACATGATGGCATTGTGGTACTTTTAATTTTTACTTTTATCGAATGATAGGTTCATTTGTTAGTATTTATCTGCAATCTTATTTAAGCAGAAGTCAACAAAAATGTCAAAGAATCTTGATGGCATTATGCTACTTTTATTTAATTTTTAATGTAAATGATTTTCATAACATCCTTTCCAAAATCGAGGTAGATAATAAAGTGTCGCAAGCTACCATCAGACTCATTGTTCATACATTAAAACTACGATGCATTTATTTTTACAATCCAAAATCTGCAGTAATCTTGAGTTATTTTGAAAATTGACACACCTACGTCAGATACATATTTGTCGCAAATAAATTGATGAACTTTTCGAATCTACGAATTATCAGACAAATTGTTGTCACTAAAAAGCTGAGAACTCGAAAAATATTTGCATACTATTGCATAACATTACATATCAAGTATTGGAACTACACCTTCAAAATATTTTTATACAATATTGTTAATCTGTTATTGAAAGGTCATTGAGGAATGTGATTGTAATTTTATTTCAGTAAGACAAAAATATTCCTTTGCTTACTCCTACGTTGTAGATAACTTTGCCTACCGGAACAGAAATCAAATTTACGATATCAAGATGGTCAAAGTTTATATCAATGATTGCAATAAAACCATCTATATTTGATATAAACGAAGCAAGAGGTCTATGTGGTGTTCCAAGTACAACAAAGGACCAGTCGGACGATTTTACTCATCGTCAAAACGGACCTGTCGACAATTACCAGGATTTTGCAGATTCTTGGAGGTATAGTTCATCTAGGCATGCATAGAGATAAAAGTAACAAATATACACTCCATGGTAACTTCTAAGATTTTTTCCACACTACATATTTCTATATTTTAAGATAAATTGATTATTGAACTTTATTCGATGCCCACATTCAGAGAGATTTGAGTGGGATGTTTTCCAAAAATAGAGGAAATATTTTTTTTAAATATGGGTTTTTTCTTTAGTAAGTTATATTATATTTACGAATTTTTTCTGTATTGACCGCCTCTCCCCCTTTCCCACTTTCTTGATCCGCCTGTAAATTATTGTCATCAAAACCTTTTTTAAGATTTGCATCAAATTGGTTAGTGTCAACCCAATTTTAATGACAAACGGTGGTGGTCAAATCTGTAAAATTAACCAAAATCAATGGTAATGTCTTATCTTATTTCTAATATATAGATGTTCACCTAAAATCTATAAGAATTGTGTCGTAACAGAAAGGGTTTTTTTGTGGTATATTTGAAATTTTAGAGAGACAAAATCAAGGGTTTTGATTTGTTCAATTACATCCTACTTCTCCTTTATCATTATACACCAGATATTAATACCTAGAATCAAGTCAATAATGATATAGTTTCGACAAATTTGCAAGTAAGCAAAAAATATTGAAAATAAATATTCAAAGGAACTTATAAAGCGGTGTTTCATTCAACTGCCAAATAATTCAACCAAATTTATATTAATTTATCAATTTATTAACCAATTTGATTTTGCACATACGCCAATGAGTCTTATTTTCTTCTCTACATGTGAAAGGTCTGTTTACTCAGAGTTCAATGTATATTTCGTAAAATTACTCATGTTTTCTTTTCTTGTAGAATATCTCCATCAATGCTTGAGGAACAGTTGTTTAGCAACGAACCAGTTTTTCTAAGCTACTCAGTTGAAGAGAATGGCAACAGTGTTACAGAGAACAATTCCACGCGTTACTGTACTTGTGAGCGACAAGCTAGCAGCACAGACACACTAGATGATTTTAATACTGTGCAATGCAATTTAACCGAAAGTACAGAATTTTGTTCAGAATCCTTCAAGACTGAAGAAGACACTATTTCTTCTTTTTATACTTCATGTTCAATATCGAAAAGAAAAAAGCGATCTGTGAACTTGTTGTACAAAATTGTACGCCGCAGCATCAGTGGTGATGATGATGTGATTGATTTACCACCATTAACATACGACAAGAGTGTATTCAATACAGAAGTAACGGTACGTTTATCTAAAAAGACACTGTAAAAGAGAGGCGAAAGATACCAAAGGGACATTCAAACTCATAAATCGAAAATAAACTGACAATGCCCTGGTTAAAAAAGAAAAAGACAAACAGACAAACAATAGTACACAAAGCACAACATAGTAAACTAAAGACTGAGCAACACGAACCCCACCAAAACCTGGTGGTGATCTCAGGTGCTCCGAAGTTGAAGCAGATCCTGCTACACATGTGCTACCCGTAGTGTTGCTCATGTTAGTACAAACTCGGTAATAAGTCTCATTCGGTAGGTCACATTCGGAGAAAAGGACATTTTGAACATATCCGCTATCATCTGTAAAACGGATATTCCATAACGGTCAACCAACTCTTGATGGCGTCCGTAAAATTTACGAAGGGATGATTTCACATTCACCACTTGGAACTCTTGGTTTAATAGCTTCCCTGTGAGCACCAACACTTAATCAAGGAAATCATGATAGGAAATACAAACCCTGGAATATCGTATCAACTTTCAGATGTATACTCCGTATTCAGGCGCTGCTTGAATGTTGCTACATAGAAATGGAAAGTTCGCAATTAAGAAGCTGAAATCATTTCTTTTGTCGTAAAGTTTTGTTTTCAACCGACCCTCATTGTCAATTTCTAGATGTAAGTCAAGATATGAGGCAGACTTAACTGTATCTGTTGTATCCTTTATCTCAAGTTTGATGGGATAGATGCGTTCAACATAGTCACCAAATCTTGAATTATTAAGGGGGAGAAAATCATCTATATATAGCGGAACTTAAAGTAAAAGGATACTGCTAACTTCTTTTCTTTCTTCCTAAGAAGTTCCGGTATGAAGTCAGCCTCATATGAATAAAGGAACAAGTCGGCAAGAAGAGGGGCACAGTTGGTTTCCATGGGAATGCCCATTGTTCGTTGAAAAACAGGTCCTCCAAACGTAACAAATATGATGTCAATCAAGAAATCAAGTATCTTGATAATGTCAGTTTCAGAGAATTTTTTGTTTGAATCAGAATGATTTTTACAAAGTAGGATTTATCCCTCCCTGAAACAAGATACTTGTATCTACGTTGGCCATTCTTTTTTATGTGTACAACAGTCAAATGTTTTAATACTATTGCAAGATGAAAGAGTCTTAGATTGTATGTACTCTCAAAGATTCACGCCATCTCTAGAATATGTAGTTTCACAATAACTTTGAAGCCCGGATTTGATTGCTGATAAAATTGATGTTAATAATTCAATATGTAAAACTATATATTGAAAACTATATATCTTATATATTGGACGTACGAAATTTACAAAGTGTTATTTTTATTTACTAGCACTGGATCGATACAATTGCTGGTTAACTGTTTGTTCGCGGGGATTTATCGTCTGCTCAGTGGTCAATACATCGGTACTGATATTACTCATGACATATTATTTTCTAAAGTTCATCGTTATTAAATAAGAAGTATCTAAAAAAACAACTGTTCTATTTCCTCAGGCAAAGTTTACCTTCGACGAATTTGAGTACAAGGATTCTTTTTATAAAACTTTTGGCCTTAAAGCTCCTAACTTTTCTACGTATCTATACATCCCTAAGCGTTTCATTTAAATGTAATATTTAATGAATCACAAAAAAAACATGATTTGAAAAAAGAGACGGAAGACACATGGGAGACATTCAAAACTCATAATTCGATGACAAACGATAACGGCATGGCAAAACAAGAAAAACATTAAAAGACGTACCAATTCACAAAAAATTTCATAGAAAACCAAAGATTCGACAACGCGAATCTCACCAGAATCCGGGGTGAACTCGGGTGCTCCGGAAGGTAAGCATTTCCTGCTCCACATGTATCATCAGTCGTCTTGCTCATGTAAGTACGAATCCGATGATTAATCTTTTTCGGTGATGTCAAAATCGATAAAAAGAGCATGGGGTTGTAGTTAGGACAGTTTGAATATATCTGTGATCATCTGTGACACAGATATTCCATAACGGTTAACCAACTCGTGATGACGTCGGTAAAAAATTTCAATGGGTGACATCAACTTCACTACTTGGAACCCTTGGTGCAATAGCTTCCTTATAAGCAGCAACCCTTTATTAAGGAAATCATGATAGGAAGCGCTAGCTCTGGAATATCGTATTAACTGGGAGGTATGCAATCAATATGCAGGTGCTGTTGGTATTTTGATGAAACGATCTTTCTATGTATAATGTTTTTTTTTTTCTTTTTTATTATCTTATGACTTTTAAACACCTAATTGTTTGCTAAATGTTAATTACAGCAGTGCGAAATATAAGTAAGAAGTATTTAACCTCAGTAAAGTAATATTTGCTGGCATAATACCTAACTTTGTCATTTAATTTGCAGAGCCCGGAAACATTTATAAATGGTTGGACGGAAGAAACTGCATTGCAGACGTGCATGGAAAAAATAAACAATGCTCTTCCATCAGAGTTGACCAATTTGGTAGATGTATCGGTAACGGAATATGTTGAATCATGTGTATTGGATATAAAGGTAATAATAATTCATCAAAAAGGAATTATAAATAGCTTATATAAGACATAAAATATACTGACATATAAAAAATATTCTTACTTTTGTTTTCTACACATTTCAACTTTTATTTCCAATTTCTTTATATACAACTTTTTACGTTATAATCCTGTAAAGGAAGTGTGCATAAAAATTACTTTGTTTGTAATGTATGTTTGTGCCGATCTTTGATTATATCGTTCGTTTTGAAATTTTGCTTCACAACAGAGAGCACATCACTAACTCAAGAACAGTAAAATTATAAGTTTTTTTTTAAACTATGGCATGATCCTAACCATCATTCAAAGATAAAATTTCTAGCACGAATTTACCTAGAATTGGACGCGAAAAATTATAAAAAAAAATTTAAGAAAGAGATTTCAAGTTATCGTCAATTAAATAGCTGAATTTCTATTTACAAGTTTGACTTAAAATAAACATCTCCGAAAAATGCAACGAAATTGTCTAAATACTTTTATATAATGCTAGGGGCATTATTAACATCAAAATTCGGATTGTTTTGGTAAACAGGACATTTTATTCTTGTCCAGTATGAAATGTCTATGTAAAAAAAATATTTGCCAGTACAAATGGGGATTCGAAATACAGATATTCAATCACTATATTGTGTATAGATGCTTTAAAAGTATTCATTACATATGGAAGAATTGATTTTAAAATGTCGATATAGCGATTTATTTCCATAGATTCAATATTTTAATTCAAATCTCACTATATTATTATTCCAGGCGGTGTGGGAGTTTGATATCATTAAAAATTATTAAATGTAGTTTTCTAAGGCACATAATCATTTAATTTTTTTTTTAAATATATCATTTTCGGAATTTATAAACACAATTTCAAAGAAGATACGAAACCACCATGATTGAGTTTTTAACCGATTGACTAAGTTAAAAAAAAAATGACTTTCATTTCCCAAGGTTGAAAATAGCACTAACCATAATTCGCAGCAAAATAAGACATAGTCACAACTAGCAGAATAGTTAATATCCTTTATAAAACAGATAAAATCAATATGAAGACTAGATAGCTTTGACTTGTATCAAACACAAACAGTGCAGTTTTATTGTTTTTTTTTTGCTGGTATGGAAACTTCGATTAATGTAATTGTATAGCATTTCATAAAGCACAATATATGATCAACCAACTTTATAGTTTGATATTTTTAATGGATAAGTTGAAACCAGAATTTAATATTATTTTTCAAAAGCTTGTCGGTGATACAACTTTCCTTCCTGATACTATTGATACTATGCTGACCTACATCATGACAGAAGTACTGAGGAATGAATCGTTGTACATACTTAATACAACAGACGGATCACAGACTTTAATGGATTATGTCACAAGCTTCCTGTGTCCTAACAACTGTAGTGGAAATGGAAACTGCACATTGGGTAAAACAATTTCTTCCTTTCGCTGTTTTGATGAAATACTTTTTAGAACATTTGATCTCAAACTAAGGTGGAGCTAAACTTGGCAGTGCATGTAGTTCGTTTTCTCATTAGTATTGCAGTTTTACACGTACAAAAGTGGTGTTATATCAAATATTTAATTTGGTATAATACAACATGAAGAACCAGATATATGAGATATTTCAATATGACAGCAAACCATCAAAACAAGCAAAAACATATTAAGGTCCATCCATATACGTTCTTCATCAATAGAGAGGTATTTTTATTATCTTAAAAAAAACTAAAATAAAACTGTATTTTACAGACACATAAATGTGACGTGTTTAAATTGTTTTATCAGTTCCTAAACCTCGATCAATGAAAAATTTGTTTGATATGAAAAATTTAACACTTTTATATCGATATAATTGCTAACCAAATCAAAGGTTCAAACGAAACAAATGCTTAATAAGCTCATTATTAGAACGGAGTTGTTTACTGAAAGCAAGCTCAAAGTAGTTAACTTCCCAAATAGAAATTTTGTTGTTCAACACTCAAGTTTCGGTTTCTTTACTTTCTAGTAAATTCCATACTTAAACGTTGAATAGAATTCCATTACAGTAAAAAAAAATCATTTTAGTTGTGCTCTAAACAGTTATTAAGCGAATCGATACTTATCTCGAAAACAAAAGAAGCAAAATACGTTATTATCATTATCAATAAAACCATAAAACAAGTCTAAGAAATAAAGGAAAAGGTATATAATTGTTTGCTTTATAAATGATATAACCATAACTTGGTTTTGAATTATCGCTTTTTATGAAATTCATTCAAATATAAAAAGCTCTCTTGATTCATGATAAACATATTTAGTCATGATAAAAATAAGCAAAGCTTTAACCCATTTATGATATATATGAGTAATAAATTATTACATTTATTGAAATCTACAATTACTCATGTATCAAACAAGTTGAGAAATTTATATACAATAAGAAACAAGTAACGTAACATCATCAATAAGGATCGCTACATGAAAAATCGTCCCGTCATAATTCTGGTATTAGATTATAGTGCAAGATTCTAAAAAATGTACAATTATCCCTCGGAGAATGGGTTATCATTATTTCAATATTTATCATCCTGCCCAGTCGTTGATATCTCTTAAAATATTAACAAAACATCACACTCCTTTTAGAAAAATCAAACAAAAAACATCTTCAAAAGTATCCCGCAGTCAGCATGTGAATCTTACAGATAATGAATATGATAGTAACACTTTAAAAATTTCGTTCGTTCTAAGAGCTTTTCTGGATTTAACTTCAGCAGGAAGGCTCAAATTCCAACGTTTGCAAATGATTTGAAAAATTGTATGAATTTTAACGGGTAAAAAACGAAAATCAGAGTTCGATAAGGCAATTAACGTATGAAATGCGACAGACACACAGGTTAAAGTCAAACAAAAATTATAACGCAGTATCAAATAATGCTACATTTTGCTCATAGGTACTTAAACGGTTGAAACAGAAATCACGCCTTCTCGCTTGTGAATAACCTCTGTCGTGATTTGGATTAGCTTTCATACAGCTACGCGAAAAGACTAGATCTTGGGCAATCCGAATATTGATATGTGTACTGAATTTAAAGATAAACAGATACTCAATTAAACATTCAAGTCGAGTTTAAGTTGTTTATAAACGAATAGACGTTAAAAACCTCAATGATTTCACACTACACAATAATTACATTACGTTTATGAGGCACAACAGGGAAGGTTTGATGGACAATTATTGTACTTTTTTTATAAAACTCCGCAAGTGGAATACTACTTATCTTCCACAATGAATCCCTTGAAATACAAAATTATTTTAGCATCATTTGTTCATATTTAGGTGTTTGTATGTGTAGCGGAAAATATATTGGTGATGACTGCTCTCAATCAATTTCAATCCCGCCATCAAATACCAGTCTTCCCTTTGACGGGCTTTGTACACTTGGAACACGTGACTGCAGGAGCACAAATATGTACGGAAATTTTCTCTCCAGGATTGTCTGGTACAAACTGAAATATTTTCAGGTAAATTTTAATTTTGGTATATCAAAATGCGAATTTGTTGCTGCAAACATTTTCCTTGGTGTTTTAAACATAGGAACATGACATTACTATTATTGGGTTTTAGACTGGACTGTAAATCACCCACAGATATTTTGCGTCAAAAAGAAAAACCACTGACTACTGTGTTTTGATACATAGTGATGCATTGTGCGTTAATATAACTGTTGGATTGCTTATAATGAAATGGTTAGACCCAGAAAAGAGCTCCAAATGCAGTAAAGAGAGGCGGAAGATATACATTTGATATCTAAACTCAAAAGTCGAACATAAACCGACAACGCCATAGCAAAAAACGAAGAGAAAAAAGCATTCAACAGTCTACAAAACACAACATAGAAAACTAGAGACTGAGCAACGCAAACCTATTAAAAAAAACTGGGGTGATTCCAGGTGCTTCGGAAGTGTAAGCAGATCCTGCTTCTTATGTGGCACCCGGCGTTGTGCTCATGAATGAAAAATTATAATAAGTCTTAATTCGGCGATGTCACATTCTATGATAAGAGGACGGGATTGTGGTAACGACAGTTGAAACATACATGCTTTATGTGTATTCTCATTTAAAAACACTGTTTGTTTTATATTTCATTTCATTTTATGTGTTTATTTATCTGCTGGCTGGCTTTCGTTTGAATTTGAATGAAAGTAGTCAGAATCCGTGTGCTTTCTTGATGCAAACCTTGTAACACACTGATATCAAAAATTCCTGTTACTAGTATGCATCTTTATTGTTGTACTCTGAAATATTCTATCAGTATATAATACATTCCATTTTAAAACTCTCAACTTATTGCAGATTATCACAGATTCCATTAAATATATATCAGAAGGCACTGTCTTCGAGGCAAATTTCAGAAATATTTTCATGGTATCTGTAGATTTGGAGTCCTCCAGGAGAAAGAGAGCAACCTCCGAAACATTTATGGCAGAAGGATATGAAATCAGTCTTTCATATGATGGCACAAATTTTGGAGAATCTACCAGAATAATCATATATGATGAAACTTGCTATTCGTGTAATTCAACATCTATCGAATGTGTTCAACTGGTATGTTTAAATTTGTATGTGAAGTTAATCGAGAAACTTCGGGCTAGTAATCTTTTGATTTAGATATCTGACCGTTTCTACGATTGTTCATTGTGCCTTTCATACTTTCAACCTTTTTTTTCCAATTTGAGGAATCTATATATTCATATAAGTTTAAATAGATTCCAACATCTGTAGCTGGATGACTAAAAAATTAACATACAGTAGCGGTTTTCTTGCACAATATTTAACTTGCTTTTATCGACATTCTTAATGTTATACGTGTTAAGCTTATTAATTAAATTATTATTTTCTGAACAAGTAATTATCTTTTTTTTTCGAGTCATAGCCAAAGTTCAGTGCAATAAACATAACCGTATGAATATACATGCGTTAAGTTGTATTACTTGTTTAACTCTGTAACGATTATCTTCCCACTCATTCTCTCAGAAATCCTATGGTTATAAGTTCTAAATAATTCAATCAGGTATTTAACTTTTCTCTTACAGGATTTCTGCAATCCAACTGTTCCTCCTACAACCCAGAATGGTAAGACATAAACTATAGATTTATTATTGATAACACTCATTAAACATAACAGGCCTTTAATTTAGTGCGCCAGATGCGCGTTTCGTCTACATAAATCTTATTTAGTGGCGCTCGAATCAAAATAATGGAAAGGCCAAAGTTCAAACAGTTTTTGCCAAATCTGGCTAATAGAAAAACAAAGGATATGGGGTATCATTCCATGACACAAAATCAGTACATACAAAGCAAAAAAAAAAACCACACTGCTCTTTATCTCAAAGTGACAGTGAGGCCTTCAACAAAGAGGCTATATATTCCTGCGTAGAAAAAGCGTTAGTGGTTCGATTGATATTAGAACAGAAAATTTACGTTAAAAACAATTTAGTGTAATGTTAAATAAATTTTACATTGTGTATTTCATTTTGATACTATAAAATAGTATGTCTAACTGTAACTCGAAGTAGTATCTATACACAATTATCAGGCCAGCTGTAAGGAAATATTAGAAAATAAGAATAAGCCAAATAAAACTATTTCAAACATTTAGAGGTCAAAACACTTATCGGGGTTTGAATCCTATGTGAAAATAGTGTCATGTCAACAAAATAGTACAAAAAGATATGTCCTATGTTGAAAAATAAAATTATAAAGTAAGACAAATGGATAGATAATTCTAATAGAAGAACAAATGATATGGAGTATCCATCCATAACACAAAATCAGTACATTTACAACAAAAAAAACACGCACAAAGCAAAGGAACAGCGATTTTATTGCTGTTCTTCATCTCAAAGTCAATAGGTTTACTTCTCATTGACAATGTTCCGACATTCTCGCTGGTGCTTTGTTTACCTTGCCAATCAACATATTTTCTGGCGGTAAAAGTTTTTTTTTCAGATATTCGATATGAGTTATAACAGTTCACTACACAATGTTTCCATTGTGTGAAATTTTGTGTGATTAACAATAAGGTACTTGTTAAAGTTGTATTTTGTAAAATCAATTTTTCGAATAGATATTTTGACATCGAAAATGAAAATCCAACATCTCATAAAGAAGATTTTTTAAAGCCAAATTTGTTTCTTTGAAATAAATACCTCCTAGCTCTGACAACAAATTGTAATGAGTTATCAGAAAGTTACTGACAACGAAAAAACAGATGCCAACTAATAAACATTAAAAAAAAAGAGTATAAATAAAATGGCAATAAAATTGTGAGCAAATAGTCCTGTTATGTCATCAGCGAACGGAAGATCTTTTTCACTCTCCTTTTTCTATGACAGGGATTTCGTTACACAAATTGCTTAAAATCTTAAATGAATTCTTTCGTTGATACAAAAAATTGGTTTAGACGTTTGGCTGTACCTGTACAAAATTATTACAAATGGGATAGCAAATCCTAAATTTTACGCTGATCTTGTTTATAGTGTCTGTAAATTTAGATTCTTTCCGTGTAACCTTATCAATTCTTTAAAACAAACTTATTTTGTAAGGTTATCAATTTAACACTGTTATAAGATCTTTGGATATTGTTTTATCGTTACAAACACTGATTTTGTCTTTATGAAATTAAAGCACTACTAAATATTCTTGCTATACAGATATGAACATTTACGGATTTAGATTCTGTCAATACTTATATTTTGACATTGCACTCGATAAAGTTTTTCTCTGACTGTTTATGACGTATTTACACTAAATCCATTGGATATTTACTCATTGATATCTGAGTCCGTGATACATGATTTTGTTAATTAGTTGTGAATGGCATTGAAATAGCTTTCAATTACTGCGAGTACCTTCAGATCTGTATTTTGTGTCTTTAAGTCTTTTTGTTAGTTGTTGTCTTTTGTGTGTGATGTGTGTCAATCTAATGATTCAAACCTTTTTCAATTGTTTTTTTATACACCCGTCAAAAATTTTGACGGGACGTATTATGGTATACAAATGTCCGGCGTCCGTCCGTCTGTCTGTGCGTCTGTCCGTCTGTCTGTCCGGCGTAAACATGTCGCACTATAACTTGAGAATGACTTATCCAAATTTTATGAAACTTTACATAGTTGTTTCTTATGATGGTCAAACGATCTGTATACTTTTTGGTGAAAATAAGATTAAAACTTTTTGAGTTACGGGACTTAGTAACTAAAACAGGTGTGTGTTTTTTTTTCACATGTCGCGCCGTATCTCAAAAACAATTTATGATTATTGCTTAAAACTTTACACACTTCTTAGTTATATTAATCTTAAGATCTGTAAACTTTTTGGTGATGATTCAAAATTTTATTTTAGAGATATTGAGTATTTTGTTAAAAAAGGGGGAGGGGTTTTTCATATGTCTCGCCGTATCTCAAAAACAGTTTATGATTATTGCTTAAAACTTTACACACTTCTTAGTTATATTAACCTTAAGATCTGTATACTTTATGGTTTTGATTCAAAATTTTATTTTTGAGATATTGATTTTTTTTTTTAAGGGGGGTTTTCACATGTCGCGCCGTATATCAAAAACGATTTATGATTATTGCTTAAAATTATACACACTTCTTAGTTATATTAATCCAAAGATCTGTATACTTTTTGGTTTTGATTAAAAATTTTATTTTAGAGATATTGAGTTTTTTGTAAAAAAAAAGGGGGTTTTCGCATGTCACGCCGTATGTCAGAAACTATTTATGCTTATTGCATAAAAATTCACACACAAGACGACGGGCGTATCATGCGCTCATGGCGCAGCTGTTTATTATAGTTTGTTCTGATGTTTTGCTGTTACACCTCTGTCTGTTTGTGACTGTTGCGAGCCATAATCCTGTAATTCATGTCACGGCTTTTTCAGAAATCAGGCCGTTTGAATTGTTTTGCATTGTTACGTCGGGACATGTTATAGCTTGTTATGCGTATTGGGTTCTTCTCGTTGGTGACGGTCGTACGGTGACCTATATTTGTTGACTTTTACGTCTTTTGATTTCTGCTGGAAAGTTGTTTCATTTGCAATCATACCAAATGTTCTTGTTTTTATAAAAAAAAACTATGGAAAAGATTTCATTATTTCAGTTGGTCGAAAAAATACTGTAGTATTTTCGCCTGTAAAGGCGATAATGCTGATATTTTCTTACTCTGCTCTTTTTATCATACAGATCAAGACATAGCGGTAGTGTTCATGTTTCTCAGTCTTTGTTTTCTATATAGCTATTTTGTGTTTTGTAAGCAGTTGTTTGTATTTTGGTCGTTTTTCGTTTTTATTACCATGGCGTTGTCAGTTTGTCTTCGTCTTATGAGTTTGAATATACCTTATGTATCTTTCGTCTCTCTTTTAAAGTAACAGTTGTTTAGCAATGTGCAAACCTCATTAAGCGTAGAAAATGTATTTTTTCACTTAAATTACCAGTTCATTTCCAGTTTATATAATTTATGTCGGATCATACAATTTACCATTGGTTTTTATTATCTGGTGTATTTCAGATGACAAGAAATCATTTGTGGTGATAGCTGCTGCTTTAGGAGGGTTGTTTCTCGTCATTATTGTGGTCATTGGATTTATATATTACAAAGTCAAAACAAACAATACAAGGTAAGTAACTTAAAAAATAAAACTGAATACCTATTTTGATTGTGTATAATTCAGTTTTAATAAAAAAAATAGTAAAAGCCAAGGTAATTGCTATTTTGTTGATTCATTATCATTTGTGCGGTATAAATTTTCGTTCATTTCTCGGGGATAGATTATACTTTGAATGTATGTGTTCAACGAAGTACTTATTTCCTATAGGCATGTGTGCAAACTTTGGCAAAACCATGAAATCAAGTATCCCCTAAAATTGGAACCCATGAAAATTAATGAATCTATAGTTTACGATGCCCTTCCTCGGTGCAAATATTGAATATCTCAAATATAAATAGCTTGAAAACATGGAGGACGACATGCTAAAGATACATTCTTAAATATGCAAACGTAAGCACAAACGTATATTAGTATTGTTTTTGTTTTGTAGAACAAAAATCATTCCTGATCAACAAGAAAGAAAGCCGAGCTTTTATCTTGAACAGAGCACCGGAAGCCAGATTTGGGTGACAACAGATAAATCTATCAGCGGCCTGCAACTTGAAATCGATGACAGTAGAGGTAACACACCTTTTGAGATGTTTGAAAAACAGTTGCCGCCATGGAGTCACTACAACCACAACTTATAGATAGAGCCTGTTAAGAAAGAAAATTTATCTCAGTAATTGAAGGCTTAAGCTGGAGAAGAATAGTTTATCACCTGCAATCAATTTATTAAGTTTTTTATATATATTAAAATAAACGCATTTGATAATGAAGTAAGTATTACAGAAAGGGTGGCTTTGATTAAAGCCAAACAAAACGTGTCTTATACTAAAATGTAATATAATGCGCTGTTTTCAGACTGAAATAATTCAAATGTAACATTAAGTTATTTATAAATAAAATATTGTTCAATTTATTTTTTCTGAGAACACAGTATAGTCATAATCTTTTATGGCAAATAGGGGGACATATAAATATTTTGTTATTTTTTTTTTGTTATTACTATTTTGTATACATCATGTGGATATGTATTTTTTAAGAAAATCAAGACTGAATTAAAAGTGTTAGGACTCTTTTGTCGGCAATCTAAATACATTTTGTACAAATCCTTCACTGAATTCCATATTTTACTTCATGAACAGGGGTGTGCTCCTGACACATAATTTGCTCCAACCGAGTTTTGAGGAAATACGATTGAAATCGACGCCACATAAGCTTAGGTTTACGGGCACAATCACGAGTTTATTGACCAATACGATGTTTCTGTGTACTAACTCAATAGCGACATTTTTTTCGCGGTGTTAGATATTTATATACCACAATAGTCGTCAGATCTGTCAATTTATACCAATTGTGACCAGTTCTAAATTGTTAAATTTTGACAGAGCGTGTATTCGCATGTCGACGCACCCTGGTCTCACTGCTGTTGGTTTTCATATGATTCTCTCGGTTTTTGTTTTTATACACCCGCTCGACAGCGTTGGGGTATTTTGGAATCCGTAAGTCCATTCGTCTGTCCGCCCGTCACACTTTTGGCTTCCATTTGATACATAGAGAACCGCTGTTTGAATTAAATTTTAATAGAATATTTTGGACACTAAAGACAGGTTTGGTTGGATTATCTTCTTTTTAACGTTTACCGTTCAAAATAAATGGTACTTGATTGTTGGAAAAATTCTGAATTTCAGGTTTCCAGATGATAAATGGGGAACTGCAGTTTTAAGTCATTAACCTTGGTTTATATCTTATTAGTTAGCCCTGGACAAATATAGTCCATAGTCTAGACAATTTATTACTTGCAAATTTTTTTCATAAACCTTTTCCATTTATTTCGTCATGTTATATGACTCAAATAGCAAGACGGAGGATAAAATTACACTTCTTAACAAAAATTGGGTCATGAATGTTGCAGTTGAAAAATGTCAAAAATTAGAATGTCTGAAGATGTCTAACTATATTCATGACCCCCTTTATATAAATTTCATCATATGTTGGGCTAGAGCTGATGACGTTTTCGTTTTATGTTATAATTTGTCCAAAAAGAAGAACATCATACTGTAAAATTATTTTGAAATGGTGTGATTTTAAAAAAAAAATTAATTTGCATCTATTGTCTAAAAGAAATGCACTACAAGATAACATTCTTCTCGGAGTTTTACGAAATTTGAACATCGGTAAACTAGTGTTGCCCCAAATTTACCATGATTTTATGCCTTTAAGGTAATTATTGATTAGTTTGGTTGTGGTGAGTGTTTTGTTTTAAATATATTCTACATTCTTCGTTGTTTATCGAAATTTTTACTAGTCTTGTTTTTTTTTATAGTCCATATTTAAAAAAAAGACAATTTGATATATAGTATATTCACAACTTTTATTTCCGTAAAAGATATTTCAAAAACTGGTCATATAACAATGTTCATATAAACCAAAACGGAAGATATGGTAAGAGCCATTATTTTGCCCCCGAAATTGCAAAAATAGTTAAATTGTTTGAACCTTTCAGAATTGTGTAAATTTGATGGTCGAATGATTAGGATAATATGATCTGGACATTATAGTGATGAAATGTCAATTTGATGGCATACACATGTCGAAATTGGCATATTTGATCTAACATGTCAATTTTACACATATAATCAATCAGATATCTTGTTGTAAAATATCTGTTTGTGTTAATCTCATATCTATATTATATATATCATAAATATTACGAATTATTCTATTTGGAGTTTTTTCAGGTTTTTATGTCTGAAATGCCAGAAGTGTAAAACCAATTTAAGATTTAATTCAAGAATATAAATTTTGATATGTTACAAACCAATGTCTTATGAACATATGAAGGATGTTATTTGATAAATTTGTAATAGTTTCTTTGTCTTCGATTTCAAGGGGCGAAAAAGTAGCCTGATCATCCATTCTCAAGAATGTGAATTTGTTTATACTGTGTTTACTATTACTGTGTTTTGTCTTGTTTTCTGTGTGTCCGTCCATAATTTAATGTATTAGATATTTTACTTATTGACATTGTATAATTCAGAAAACTGTATTTGTAGCATTTAGGACGTATTTGTTGCATTTTGATCTGTTTTATACCACTTATATATTTTTATTTTTTCATTTATCAAATTCAATAATCTTTATCTCGATGTCTGTGATTCATTTTTACCTAAGAATGGATTATATTTGTACAATATAATCATAGCATTCGGAATATCATAAAGGACAATATGTAATGATCGAAATAAATGCCTTCATCATAAACCAATCATTATGCTCTTCATTAATAATGCTTCAATTGTGTAATTCGTGCAATTAAGTGAATGACTTGCGCAGGCGCAGACTTATACAGAAAAAAACAACCTCCTGACAAAATGTGCCCAAATATGCTGCGGATTTCCAACAACAATGTTCTGCATATTTCCAGCAAGCTTACAGAAAAGTCCTGGTGAGATATTGTTTCCTCCAAAAAATCGGATATATAAAAATAAGACGATAGGGTATAATGGCTAATGAGTCAACTTTAGCAACTATATATCATCGTAATTGATACTGACTTCAACAATGAGCAAAAACTTATACCGTATAGTAAGCGATAAAAGGCACAAACATGACACAAAGTAAAGCAATTAAATGAGAACCGACACCCGAATTTGTGTTAAAACAATAAACAAAAACAACTATAACAAGACCGCAAAACAACTACAACCACTAAAATTTAATTCCTTACTTGGATCAAGTACATACAGAATATTGCGGGGCTAAACACTTTTGGGGGCACCAAACCCTTCCCTAACCAGGGGCATCGGTGTAACAACACAACATTAGAACAAACTGTAAAAATTAGTTGGAAGGACTTGACACATCAGATCCTAGTGATAGCTGTCGTATTGCTTGTATTACTGTTCTTACTTTTCCACAATGGTCAACTACGGCATCATTGTGTCTTTCAACTTTCTAAGAGATATTATTTTAATTTATGTCGTAAGGTTGTAAAGTTTGGTCTTAAGTCGCTTTTGATTCGCGTTCCCAGCTCAGTCAATTAACGGTGAAATAGACCTAGCTATGCCTTTATTTCACTGATTTCAGTAGGATAGAGTGACGCGATCAATATTGTCATGATAACTGTCCTCCCAGTAATCGGTGCTTTGTTGTTGACATAATTTAAGTAATGCAATTTTGTTTGTAAATTTCGAGTTCATAAAATTACGTAACTATACAAAAACTAAGATTGCAACTCTCGAAAGGAAAGTTGACCAATGTGCTAAATAATGGCGGGTAGAACTATTCTACTAGGTCTATTTCACCTTAATTGACTGAGTTGGGAACGCGAATTAAAAAGAAACTAAAGACCAAACTTTACAACCTAAAGACATAAATTAAAATAAGTTGACCTTAGACGCTTTGTGACTATTCTGTTTAGGCCCTTTTTCATTTATGTTCTCAAACGAGGTTGTTTTTTGTTTTGCTTTCCAACTTTTGGTCATGCGCGTACCAGATGGGAGGGTTTTTTCCTGTAAAATATCCATTTTTTTAACAACAACAAAAGGCCTGATTATCTTCCACACTGATACAAATCCCATTGATACTGTTCTGGGAAAGCCAAAGCAATTCCTGGTTCATGTAGACACTTCGGCTAAAACGCCTGCGTTTACACCACAAAAGTTACTCTGAGTGCAGATAAACCTATGCATCTGGAAACATTTTAAGGCATAGCATGGCCTAGATAAATAAAATTCATAAAACTGTTTTTGTTTCAGCTGATTTGTTACGATTGTTACTTTTCCTACCGAAAGTCGGTGGTTCTTTCCGAGCACTCAGGCTTCCTCCACCAATAAAAACTGACCGCCACAAAATAGCACAATAGTGCTGAAAGTGCTGGTTAAACACCAATCAATCAACTAATCAATTCATACAAACTTTTTGAAAAGCTACTCCTTGTGTGTATGTATGCTACGTATAAGCCTCCTTTCATTAGGAGCACCACCATGAGTTATGGTGTAAAGGAGGACATTCAACACACTGTATCGGCACAGATTTAATGTGAGCATTTGCCTACCCAGTTCCCCACATTGGCCGTGACGGGACTTACTTCCACAAAGTTAACCTTCCCAAAAACATGAATAAATACAATGCAATAAAACATACGAACACACCCATTCAACTCATCATCAAAATATATAAAAAGCGTAAAATAAAAGTGCAAAATATATACAAAATAAGAGAAAAGGTCACCCGGATGCCGCAAAAATGCCATGGCAACGAACGGGAAACCGGTAAGGACATACTTGGATTCCAAACCGATACCGCTAAATACCCAGCTGTATTCCTGATAGTTACACCCCAGTTCTATTGTTATACTTCATAGTTTCACATTCTTAAACAAGTGTAAATTGAATAGATCTATTGTTACGAATAATAATGGATTTTGACCACAGGGTGTGACGAGCGGAGTTTCTGGAAACCCCTGCTTCTACATCCCGAAAGCACAGTCTATTGTTATGAATAGACTCTTTATGATATTCAAAGGGAAGATTTTTTTCAATACATTTCTAACAATTGTTATAATTTTAAAAATTTAAATAAATCTTCTAAATTTTTATGGCTCTTGACCCAAGAAAATGTAACTCTTATGGAAAACTGGGCTGTTATATTTGTGACTGTTTTGAATTAAGGAGATCAGGTATGAATATTGACACTAAGTCAAGTAAATGATTTGAGAATGAATGCATATAATGTAATTTTCGTTTTTATTACCATGGCGTTGTCAGTTTGTCTTCGTCTTATGAGTTTGAATATACCTTATGTATCTTTCGTCTCTCTTTTAAAGTAACAGTTGTTTAGCAATGTGCAAACCTCATTAAGCGTAGAAAATGTATTTTTTCACTTAAATTACCAGTTCATTTCCAGTTTATATAATTTATGTCGGATCATACAATTTACCATTGGTTTTTATTATCTGGTGTATTTCAGATGACAAGAAATCATTTGTGGTGATAGCTGCTGCTTTAGGAGGGTTGTTTCTCGTCATTATTGTGGTCATTGGATTTATATATTACAAAGTCAAAACAAACAATACAAGGTAAGTAACTTAAAAAATAAAACTGAATACCTATTTTGATTGTGTATAATTCAGTTTTAATAAAAAAAATAGTAAAAGCCAAGGTAATTGCTATTTTGTTGATTCATTATCATTTGTGCGGTATAAATTTTCGTTCATTTCTCGGGGATAGATTATACTTTGAATGTATGTGTTCAACGAAGTACTTATTTCCTATAGGCATGTGTGCAAACTTTGGCAAAACCATGAAATCAAGTATCCCCTAAAATTGGAACCCATGAAAATTAATGAATCTATAGTTTACGATGCCCTTCCTCGGTGCAAATATTGAATATCTCAAATATAAATAGCTTGAAAACATGGAGGACGACATGCTAAAGATACATTCTTAAATATGCAAACGTAAGCACAAACGTATATTAGTATTGTTTTTGTTTTGTAGAACAAAAATCATTCCTGATCAACAAGAAAGAAAGCCGAGCTTTTATCTTGAACAGAGCACCGGAAGCCAGATTTGGGTGACAACAGATAAATCTATCAGCGGCCTGCAACTTGAAATCGATGACAGTAGAGGTAACACACCTTTTGAGATGTTTGAAAAACAGTTGCCGCCATGGAGTCACTACAACCACAACTTATAGATAGAGCCTGTTAAGAAAGAAAATTTATCTCAGTAATTGAAGGCTTAAGCTGGAGAAGAATAGTTTATCACCTGCAATCAATTTATTAAGTTTTTTATATATATTAAAATAAACGCATTTGATAATGAAGTAAGTATTACAGAAAGGGTGGCTTTGATTAAAGCCAAACAAAACGTGTCTTATACTAAAATGTAATATAATGCGCTGTTTTCAGACTGAAATAATTCAAATGTAACATTAAGTTATTTATAAATAAAATATTGTTCAATTTATTTTTTCTGAGAACACAGTATAGTCATAATCTTTTATGGCAAATAGGGGGACATATAAATATTTTGTTATTTTTTTTTTGTTATTACTATTTTGTATACATCATGTGGATATGTATTTTTTAAGAAAATCAAGACTGAATTAAAAGTGTTAGGACTCTTTTGTCGGCAATCTAAATACATTTTGTACAAATCCTTCACTGAATTCCATATTTTACTTCATGAACAGGGGTGTGCTCCTGACACATAATTTGCTCCAACCGAGTTTTGAGGAAATACGATTGAAATCGACGCCACATAAGCTTAGGTTTACGGGCACAATCACGAGTTTATTGACCAATACGATGTTTCTGTGTACTAACTCAATAGCGACATTTTTTTCGCGGTGTTAGATATTTATATACCACAATAGTCGTCAGATCTGTCAATTTATACCAATTGTGACCAGTTCTAAATTGTTAAATTTTGACAGAGCGTGTATTCGCATGTCGACGCACCCTGGTCTCACTGCTGTTGGTTTTCATATGATTCTCTCGGTTTTTGTTTTTATACACCCGCTCGACAGCGTTGGGGTATTTTGGAATCCGTAAGTCCATTCGTCTGTCCGCCCGTCACACTTTTGGCTTCCATTTGATACATAGAGAACCGCTGTTTGAATTAAATTTTAATAGAATATTTTGGACACTAAAGACAGGTTTGGTTGGATTATCTTCTTTTTAACGTTTACCGTTCAAAATAAATGGTACTTGATTGTTGGAAAAATTCTGAATTTCAGGTTTCCAGATGATAAATGGGGAACTGCAGTTTTAAGTCATTAACCTTGGTTTATATCTTATTAGTTAGCCCTGGACAAATATAGTCCATAGTCTAGACAATTTATTACTTGCAAATTTTTTTCATAAACCTTTTCCATTTATTTCGTCATGTTATATGACTCAAATAGCAAGACGGAGGATAAAATTACACTTCTTAACAAAAATTGGGTCATGAATGTTGCAGTTGAAAAATGTCAAAAATTAGAATGTCTGAAGATGTCTAACTATATTCATGACCCCCTTTATATAAATTTCATCATATGTTGGGCTAGAGCTGATGACGTTTTCGTTTTATGTTATAATTTGTCCAAAAAGAAGAACATCATACTGTAAAATTATTTTGAAATGGTGTGATTTTAAAAAAAAAATTAATTTGCATCTATTGTCTAAAAGAAATGCACTACAAGATAACATTCTTCTCGGAGTTTTACGAAATTTGAACATCGGTAAACTAGTGTTGCCCCAAATTTACCATGATTTTATGCCTTTAAGGTAATTATTGATTAGTTTGGTTGTGGTGAGTGTTTTGTTTTAAATATATTCTACATTCTTCGTTGTTTATCGAAATTTTTACTAGTCTTGTTTTTTTTTATAGTCCATATTTAAAAAAAAGACAATTTGATATATAGTATATTCACAACTTTTATTTCCGTAAAAGATATTTCAAAAACTGGTCATATAACAATGTTCATATAAACCAAAACGGAAGATATGGTAAGAGCCATTATTTTGCCCCCGAAATTGCAAAAATAGTTAAATTGTTTGAACCTTTCAGAATTGTGTAAATTTGATGGTCGAATGATTAGGATAATATGATCTGGACATTATAGTGATGAAATGTCAATTTGATGGCATACACATGTCGAAATTGGCATATTTGATCTAACATGTCAATTTTACACATATAATCAATCAGATATCTTGTTGTAAAATATCTGTTTGTGTTAATCTCATATCTATATTATATATATCATAAATATTACGAATTATTCTATTTGGAGTTTTTTCAGGTTTTTATGTCTGAAATGCCAGAAGTGTAAAACCAATTTAAGATTTAATTCAAGAATATAAATTTTGATATGTTACAAACCAATGTCTTATGAACATATGAAGGATGTTATTTGATAAATTTGTAATAGTTTCTTAGTCTTCGATTTCAAGGGGCGAAAAAGTAGCCTGATCATCCATTCTCAAGAATGTGAATTTGTTTATACTGTGTTTACTATTACTGTGTTTTGTCTTGTTTTCTGTGTGTCCGTCCATAATTTAATGTATTAGATATTTTACTTATTGACATTGTATAATTCAGAAAACTGTATTTGTAGCATTTAGGACGTATTTGTTGCATTTTGATCTGTTTTATACCACTTATATATTTTTATTTTTTCATTTATCAAATTCAATAATCTTTATCTCGATGTCTGTGATTCATTTTTACCTAAGAATGGATTATATTTGTACAATATAATCATAGCATTCGGAATATCATAAAGGACAATATGTAATGATCGAAATAAATGCCTTCATCATAAACCAATCATTATGCTCTTCATTAATAATGCTTCAATTGTGTAATTCGTGCAATTAAGTGAATGACTTGCGCAGGCGCAGACTTATACAGAAAAAAACAACCTCCTGACAAAATGTGCCCAAATATGCTGCGGATTTCCAACAACAATGTTCTGCATATTTCCAGCAAGCTTACAGAAAAGTCCTGGTGAGATATTGTTTCCTCCAAAAAATCGGATATATAAAAATAAGACGATAGGGTATAATGGCTAATGAGTCAACTTTAGCAACTATATATCATCGTAATTGATACTGACTTCAACAATGAGCAAAAACTTATACCGTATAGTAAGCGATAAAAGGCACAAACATGACACAAAGTAAAGCAATTAAATGAGAACCGACACCCGAATTTGTGTTAAAACAATAAACAAAAACAACTATAACAAGACCGCAAAACAACTACAACCACTAAAATTTAATTCCTTACTTGGATCAAGTACATACAGAATATTGCGGGGCTAAACACTTTTGGGGGCACCAAACCCTTCCCTAACCAGGGGCATCGGTGTAACAACACAACATTAGAACAAACTGTAAAAATTAGTTGGAAGGACTTGACACATCAGATCCTAGTGATAGCTGTCGTATTGCTTGTATTACTGTTCTTACTTTTCCACAATGGTCAACTACGGCATCATTGTGTCTTTCAACTTTCTAAGAGATATTATTTTAATTTATGTCGTAAGGTTGTAAAGTTTGGTCTTAAGTCGCTTTTGATTCGCGTTCCCAGCTCAGTCAATTAACGGTGAAATAGACCTAGCTATGCCTTTATTTCACTGATTTCAGTAGGATAGAGTGACGCGATCAATATTGTCATGATAACTGTCCTCCCAGTAATCGGTGCTTTGTTGTTGACATAATTTAAGTAATGCAATTTTGTTTGTAAATTTCGAGTTCATAAAATTACGTAACTATACAAAAACTAAGATTGCAACTCTCGAAAGGAAAGTTGACCAATGTGCTAAATAATGGCGGGTAGAACTATTCTACTAGGTCTATTTCACCTTAATTGACTGAGTTGGGAACGCGAATTAAAAAGAAACTAAAGACCAAACTTTACAACCTAAAGACATAAATTAAAATAAGTTGACCTTAGACGCTTTGTGACTATTCTGTTTAGGCCCTTTTTCATTTATGTTCTCAAACGAGGTTGTTTTTTGTTTTGCTTTCCAACTTTTGGTCATGCGCGTACCAGATGGGAGGGTTTTTTCCTGTAAAATATCCATTTTTTTAACAACAACAAAAGGCCTGATTATCTTCCACACTGATACAAATCCCATTGATACTGTTCTGGGAAAGCCAAAGCAATTCCTGGTTCATGTAGACACTTCGGCTAAAACGCCTGCGTTTACACCACAAAAGTTACTCTGAGTGCAGATAAACCTATGCATCTGGAAACATTTTAAGGCATAGCATGGCCTAGATAAATAAAATTCATAAAACTGTTTTTGTTTCAGCTGATTTGTTACGATTGTTACTTTTCCTACCGAAAGTCGGTGGTTCTTTCCGAGCACTCAGGCTTCCTCCACCAATAAAAACTGACCGCCACAAAATAGCACAATAGTGCTGAAAGTGCTGGTTAAACACCAATCAATCAACTAATCAATTCATACAAACTTTTTGAAAAGCTACTCCTTGTGTGTATGTATGCTACGTATAAGCCTCCTTTCATTAGGAGCACCACCATGAGTTATGGTGTAAAGGAGGACATTCAACACACTGTATCGGCACAGATTTAATGTGAGCATTTGCCTACCCAGTTCCCCACATTGGCCGTGACGGGACTTACTTCCACAAAGTTAACCTTCCCAAAAACATGAATAAATACAATGCAATAAAACATACGAACACACCCATTCAACTCATCATCAAAATATATAAAAAGCGTAAAATAAAAGTGCAAAATATATACAAAATAAGAGAAAAGGTCACCCGGATGCCGCAAAAATGCCATGGCAACGAACGGGAAACCGGTAAGGACATACTTGGATTCCAAACCGATACCGCTAAATACCCAGCTGTATTCCTGATAGTTACACCCCAGTTCTATTGTTATACTTCATAGTTTCACATTCTTAAACAAGTGTAAATTGAATAGATCTATTGTTACGAATAATAATGGATTTTGACCACAGGGTGTGACGAGTGGAGTTTCTGGAAACCCCTGCTTCTACATCCCGAAAGCACAGTCTATTGTTATGAATAGACTCTTTATGATATTCAAAGGGAAGATTTTTTTCAATACATTTCTAACAATTGTTATAATTTTAAAAATTTAAATAAATCTTCTAAATTTTTATGGCTCTTGACCCAAGAAAATGTAACTCTTATGGAAAACTGGGCTGTTATATTTGTGACTGTTTTGAATTAAGGAGATCAGGTATGAATATTGACACTAAGTCAAGTAAATGATTTGAGAATGAATGCATATAATGTAATTTTATTCTTGTATTCACAATATATATGTGGTTTTTGGCTCTGGTTCTGACCAATGCTAATATACTAAATATATCTTTACAAGTAACTATCATTGTTGTTGTTAGCAATTATGTAAATCAATTGTATCTGATTTTATGCCCTTTATGGGCCCTGTAATTTGGGAAATAAAATATTATATATTCTATTCTATGAATAACAATAGAAATTGTTTTTTTTTTCAATAGCATGAAGAGAAGTGATTACTAATAGTATTCACTACAAATTGTCTCAAGCCATATGAAAAAAACACATTTCAGGAAATTCCAATAGTGAAAAAAACATTTAGCATGAATTTTGATTAAAAAAAGTATTCATTTAAATTCTGCTTTGCTTGAGGCTAAAATGTTAATCCCATATGACAATGTCTCAAAGAACATGCATGTAAAGAACTTGTATTTGCATGATGCATTTAAACACATATAGTATTCATTTGGACTAAGTCTTAATCATCACTTGCTAAAATAAATATTAATGTTTGAATTGTTGAAGACAAACGATGGAACCGAGTCGGAGTTTGCGGTAATTGTTGTGGCTGGTGTGGACACGATTGGACAGCTGCTGGTGGTGACTTGTTTCGCCACAGTAAGGCCGCTACTGTTGGTTGTTTCTGTACGGGCTTGAATCTGGTATCCATCTCGTCTTTTTCTGAAAAACAAGGTTAATTGGGAAAATTATTTTGTTCAATAAAATGCAGTTTATCTGATTTTTAGGCACGTATCCAAGACAAGTGTAACGAGGCGAACAGTTTTTTTTTACGTTTTAGCCCACTATATGAAAAAGAACGGATATGGGGCAATGGCACGAAGACATCACCAAATCACAAAATACAATACACAAAAATAAATCGAGAGCTCACCACATGAACTATGTATGTTTTAGGGAAAACACGTTTTTTTTATTCTTAACCTCATTATTTCAGGTTTGTAAATGTATGTGTTTCATCTATTCCAGGATGTAAGATGGCTTTTTTATTGAGTGCCCCCCCATCCCCCCCTCGGGCCCCATCCAACTTTCAAACTCCTGAATCCGCCATTGAATTTTTATAGATAATTCGTTCTCCAAGTGAATTATCAATGTTAGTACTTTGTAATGTTTGTAAAATTTAAATTTAATGCAGAAGCTAATTTATGTGGAGACAAGGGGCCAGTCCCTTATGGAGCTTGTCATATAAGGTAAAGTCCCACTCTAATTTTCACATTTTTTTAAAGTGGTAACCCCCCCCCCCCCCCCCCCCCTTTTCAATTTTCATTTTTTTTTTTGCAATACGGCGTTGGACGTTTGCGCTTTTTCATAGGACATTTGCGCTTTTTTTATGGACATTTGCGCTTCAATTTATAGGACATTTGCGCTTTAACAATATTTGCTACTTATGACTTTCCTCCTTTTTTATCCGGGTTTAGGACCGGCAGGTTTGACCTGGCAGAGTTAAAGTCATAATTTTCTCTATGGTTAAAAGTATAATAGTCGTTTCATATCACATTCATTTCATAGCACGTTGATATAGTTATATGTAACTAAAAGTAAACATTCTAAAGACATAAGAAACACGTATAGTAATCACTGGTCAGTTTTCTCTTGATATCTGAAGCCCAAGGAATGAACAAATTTAGCTCTTGTAATGTCCTAACAGGTATTTCGCCCATATTTCAAATAAGTATTCTTGTTTCTCTTTCTCAATTCTTGACTTAGGTGCTTTTTCATCAATATAAAGAATTTTAACATAATTTACCGACTGTTGTTCAATGATAAAAATCCATCTTGACATAATACATTTTTTTCTTTTACTAGTCTATAACTTGAAACTCTATGTTTAAGACCGTGTCCATGTAAGCTAGCTTACGAAAAATAACAGTTGAATTTATTTACGTTATGATTACAACTCATTGAAATTGCTGGTAGACGACTCGGCGCGGGGCGTTTGCGCTTTTTCATAAGACATTTGCGCTTTTTTAATGGACATTTGCGCTTTTTAAATATGGACATTTGCGCATTTTAAATATGGACATTTGCGCTTTTTGTATAGGACATTTGCGCTTTTACAATATTTTCTTTATGGTTAAAAGTTAAATAGTACTTCCATAGAACATTTGTGTTTAAAAGTAATTTCATAGCACATTGATATAGTTATATATACCTATAAGTAAACATTATAAAGACCTCAAGGACATCACAGGTCAGTTTAAGCTAGATATCTGAAGCCCAAGGAATGAACAATTTTGCTCTTGTAATCTGTCCTGACTGGTATTTCGCCCTCATTTCAAATACATATTCTAGTCTCTATTTCTCAATTCTTGACTGAGATGCCTGTTCATCAATATAACGAATTTTAATGTAATTAACCGACTGTTGTTCAATGATAAAAATCCAT